CGGAAGTCTACGGTGGCGGAACACCTCACACTCGGAGCACTTCAGGCTGGCCGACCGGTGGTCGCCCCTCATCACCGCGCCCCCCGAGGCCCCGGCAGCAGGGCTTGGGTTTCCCCAGGCTCCGGTTCCTCTCTCGCCGGTCTTTCAAACTCAGGACAGAAGCCACAGAAAGGTGATCACCCCTAATCCCAGCCGGCTTCCTGGCCTGGGCGTTTTCTAGCCGCCCAGGCAGAGTCAGTGCCCTCTCCTGTCGCCACCTCTCCAGACAAGGATTAGCGAGTACCCACTAGTGGCCTGCTCGGCAAAGTCTCCTGTCCTCCCATTCGAGAACAAGTTTATTTTCCCTCTGCATTGGGAATCTTGTCCCAGAGATCTCTTCCAGGCTTCTGGAGCACTCTTAGAAATACTGACTGCCTACAGGGCTAAGAATCTTGTTCTTGACTTAGTAGGTTGTTTTATTTTCCTTTTGGCAGGTAATAGTTGGTCCAGGAATTTATTCATTTGGATCACCAGTTCCTTGGCCATCTCTATGTAACTCCCCCCCATCTGAGTCCAGTTTCCTCTGGGCTCCATTCTCCATCCCCCAGTAGATCTGGTCAGTCCTACCTCTGGGTGGGAGTGATCAGGGGGCTCTGGCCCAGGATTTCCAACCCTGGAAGGCAGTTCCAAGGCATCGAGAGAGTTGGGCGTCGGGTACGAACCTGGCAGCTCAGGAGTGGGCCCTCCACTCACCCCCCACAAAAAGATGAAAAAACGCAAAGAACTTAATGCGTTGATCGGCCTGGCTGGTGATAGTCGAAGAAAGAAGCCCAAAAAAGGCCCAAGCAGCCACCGCCTGCTTCGCACTGAACCTCCTGACTCAGACTCAGAGTCCAGCTCAGAGGAAGAAGAAGAATTTGGAGCAATTGGAAATCGCTCTCGTTTTGTCAAGTGAGTGAAGCAGTGGTTTGAGCTGAAATAGGAAAAAGGCAGCTTGCACTAAGCTGGGCAAATAGCTGAGGAGAGAGGAGTCCTTAGAAAAAAGGAAGGAGGCCTTGGAAAACAGATAGAGGAAGGGTGTTGGAGAAAACAAATCCTGAATGAAGAGTAAGAGGTCACTCTAATGTCTATCAAGATCTCAAAATCCAGGGTGGTGAACTTGAGGAATGGGCCCATAGCCCAAGAAAAAGTAAAGAGGTTGCTAATGGAGACAGAGAAGAGAGGCTATGGAGGCTAGGCATTTTTAAAAAGTAGGTCAAGGAACCTTAAGACCTATAACTATTTTGTGTTTTCTCAAGGAACTTGATATTGGTGATGGAAGAATAGAGTGAGGGGGGGTACTGTAGAAAATACAAACCCTGCAAGTATGGAGGGTGGGGGTACCAAAATAAATAAATAAAAGCAATCTTTCTCCAAACCAACCACTAAACAAAACAAGCTTTGAGGATTTGGGGGTTAAGAGATTAGTTTGTGAACCAGCTAAAGGAAACCTCAGTGTTTAGACCTTGGGCTCTGTTAGAGACCAAACTAAAAGAAAAGGCAATTCTGTTGGAATGTGGAAACAAATGTTAGGCAGAGGACCTGGGTGCCAAAGGAATTCTGGTCTTTTGGTGTGTTCATTATCTCTGTGTCTTTTTGTAAAGACTTTGGTTTCTTTACCTGACTTTGTCAGAGAGTAGTTAAGGACGATTCCAAGTTTGTTCTGTGAAGATCATCTGATATCCTACTTGGTTAGTTTAGACCTGAAGGCTAGGTGAAGTTTGGTGTGAAATCCAGCATGTTTCTATTTCTGTCCTCCTAAGGCAGTAGGTTAAAAAAATATTGGGTATCCACTTAAACCAACAGGTCTTGTTTTCTTCATTCCGTTAGCAGTAAAACTTGGTCAAAAGTTTATGAAGTTTCAATAAATGAAATAGGGTCTCCTGTGGTAAGTGAGAATATATTTGAGAGTGAGAGAGAGATAGGTAAATTACTATGCAGGGATAGAATTACATAGAACTACTCATTTTTACCCTTCTTTCCATCCATTCTTTTTTTTTTTTTTCCTTAATACTATTAAGGATTGAGCCACGTTCTCATGCATGGTAGAAAAGCACCCTCTCTTCCACCAAGCAAACATCCCCCACTGTTTTTTAAAGCAAGATTTTACTTACTTCCTCAAGCTGATACAGAACTTGCAAACCTTCTACCTCAGCCTCCCAGGTACTTGGATTACAGGCATGTGCCACTATGCCTGTTTTGTCTTTTACACTTTACAAACTGAATTCGGCTCCAAAGACCTCCCTTCAGAATTGATGGCAGTGATCCAGAACCCACAGATATTTCGAATGACCCATGGGAACTCCCTGTTTCCTGTGCGGTTTGAAACCTTTGTACCCAATAGAACTTTTCATAGGTCATACTGTTCGGTCATTTTCAGCCTCCTGCTAGTAGATATAGATACATTATCCTGTGTCCCCTGGTAAATCCACTGGTTATTCATTAGAGAAGATAATCACATGGCAACGCATGCTGCTGCTAATAAAGCTGTTCTTAACCCTGCTCTCTCACTCATGGTTGAATGCATTCTTACGATAGGGGAGACTACTTACGATGCTGCAAGATCTGCTATCCCCTGTGTGCTTTTGTCATCCTCGCCGCCTGTGTCGTGGCCTGCGTTGGCTTGGTGTGGATGCAAGTGGCTCTCAAGGAGGATCTGGATGCCCTCAAGGAAAAATTTAGAGCAAGTAAGTGGTCAAGTTTTCTTCAAGTTTTAGAAAAAAAAATTGGTCCATGCTGAATGAGGAATTTGCCCATTCTGATAGGTAATTACACATTTTGTTCTATATACTTTCTCAACTGTCAACTTGACGGTAATAACACTTATTGTTTTTCAACCCATAAACAAATTCAGTGCTCATGTGCCACCAGGAGTAGCATCTGAAATTATGACACTGAAGTCAACTCAGTGCAGAGGGGAAGAACTGTACACCAGGAGCCCAGAGCCTTGATTAAACTCCACCGATAGCCTAAGCTCCCAATTATAAAGTGGATGATGAGACACCATGCTGTTTCCTTTACCTCACGGTACCAGTTGATTAAAAATGTGGAAGCATCTGTCAGATGACTTCCTCTTTCCAAACACTGTGTAAGAGCATAGGAATGGACAACAGTCATTAAAAGAGCCACCATTTGTAGACTGCCCATTTGTGCCAAGTCACAAGTCTCTGTGTGTGTGTGTGTGTGTATCTCCACACATGCTAGTAAAGATGAGTATTACTATTTGTATTCTAAAAAAAGAAGAAGAAGAAGAAGAAGAAGCTGGGTGGGCAAGATAGCTCCACAGGTATAGGCACCTGAGTTCAGTGTCAGAGATCATGTGTGTTAGAGGGAGAACACTGATTCTTGCAGGTTGTCCTCTGACTTCCACAGACACACTGGCATGCACGAACCCACCTACATAAAACACACTAAGTAATTAAATATATAATTAAAAAGTTTGAACAAAGAGCAGCTGGGCGTGGCAATGCACACCTTTAATCCCAGCACTTGGGAGGCAGAGGCAGGGGAATCTGTGTGAGTTCAAGACCAGCCTGGTCTACAAAGCGAGTTCCAGGACAGCCAGGGCTTCACAGAGAAACCCTGTCTCAAAAAAAAAAAAAAAAAACAGGCCAGAACGATTAAGTAGCTTGTTTAGCAATTCAGTGTTTACCTGGTCCTCTTGCCCTTTCTTCCCAAATCTATATGTATAGCCACTGCTGCACTACATTACTGTTCCAGTGCCTATGAAAGCCTCAGGAATATTTACAAGTGCCCACAAATTCCTTCTGTACAGCTTGGATCAGTAGTCTATGAAAAGTTTAGTAGATGATGGAAGAGCTGATTGTGTGTATGTGTGTATGTGTGTGTTTATAGTGTTCTAGCACAAAGCAAGAATTAATAGGTAGTCCATTGGCGTCTTTCCATAGGACATCTGTTTAAAGAGGGGAAAAACTTCAAATACCATGAATGTCACCATCTTAAACTTTTAGGAAACTCTTGATCCTTTGAAGAACATTACACATCCATGAAGAAGTACAGTAATCATAATAGTCCTTACCTCAAACACAATACAGCTCATAGAGATATTTGTCTCATGAGTGAGGTTTTTGGTTTAAGAGACTTCTCAAGTTAGAAAATATCATATGTAACAAAGTTCAGTTTTATACATCCAAACTAATTTTTACTGAAAGGTGTGTTTGTATATTGGTTTCAGCCAGATTTAACTTAACAAATTTTCTCCTTCTTTTAACAACAGTATAATCTTTGGATCTAGATTTCAAGAGTGGATTTTCTAAGCTAGGGAACCAGTTTCAGCTTAATCACAGACCTCACTAGCAATAGCACACCAGGAAACTGATCACAAGTTCCTCAAAGAACTCTGGCTCCAGAACTGATTTTGAGCCCTTACTTTGCCTCTTAAGCCTGGGAGATCCATATTAAGCCTAAAAAATCACAACTTCCTGCTTTCCTTCACTCAGCTTCTCTTGACCTACAGCCATTCAAGCTTTGGACTTGACCTAGGAACAGCTACTCCTCAGAGTATTGAAAAATGTTTTAATTAATATCTGACTTTCTGATTCAGGGATGGGATTTGCTAAGCCCACAATTCTTTGCCAAAATCATCCTGACCTATATGGTTGAATCAAAATACATCACACACACAAAAAAAAAGAATGTACATACTGTAGAGTTTCTCACTGTGTAATTCTTGTTTTTGCAATATTGCAAATATTTTTAAGCTTGTATTTTTTGTATGTAAATAATAATCATAACTTGGAAACAGTGTTGAACTGTGTGTGACCTCTGGACACACCTTTATGTCAAATGAATTCTCTATAATTAGTTGAGCTTCCTAGGCTTGTGCCACACCTTGTTTTGATCACATACAGTGATTATATGTTTATGTATTTCATACATTACTCAGTTCTCCCCTCTAAAGATTCCTTTCTGCAGCTCTTCTGTGTCTGTATTTACAGGATACCAAGGTCATTTATACCTTAGCAGGGCTTGCCGTGGATCTCTTTGTTTAGAAAATGTAAGACATGTAGGCCTGACAGTCAGTCCCTAAAAACATTATATTCAAGAGATGCGACTCCATACATCTGGACTGTTGGTGGGGGGGGGGGGGGGGTCAGCTTCCTATCATTGAGGAAGATTTTTCTCGATTCCAAACTGCATGTATCAGCCAGCTGAGTAAAGCAGGCTTGGAATTGTCAATCCAATTGTTTTGATAGCTTTGATTTGCCACAATAGCAATGCCAGTGATCACTGAGATTGCTCAGTGGATAAGGGTGCTTTCCACCAAGCCTGATGACCTGAGTTCAATCTCTGGAGCCCCTGTGGTGGAAGGAGAAAACCACTCTGGTGAGTTGTACTCTTATCGCCACATGCATACTATGGCACAGTAACACCAACACACACACACACACACACACAGAGAGAGAGAGAGAGAGAGATAGAGAGAGAGAGAGAGAGAGAGAGAGAGAGAGAGAGAAAGAGAAAGAGAGAGAGGGGGGAGGAGAAAGAGAAAGAAAATAAAAATAAGCAAGTACTTCCTGAGGGAGGGAAGACTGGGGTCTGGCATGCTCATGCTATAAGCTGGGAATCTATGGAGTGATTGCTCACAAGGGGGGGGCGGTATTTCTTTTGGTTTTTTTGTTTGTTTGTTTTTGTTTTTCAAGACAGGGTTTCTCTTGTAGCCTGGCTGTCCTGGAACTCAATCTGTAGAACAAACCAGCCTCAAACTCAGAGATCCACCTGCCTCTGCCTCCTGAGTACTAGGATTAAAGACATGCACCACCACTGCCAGCTTCTCACTAGCTTATTTGTTTGTTTTTAGGAAATAGCAGCTATTTTAACTAAATGGAGTAATTTTACTATGATTAGTTAGATAATAATGTTTTTACAATTATGCTTCTACTTTAAACACATCTCAGTAAGTTAATTCTTTTTTCTTCTTAATCCTACAAAACAGTGGAGCTCACAGACCTAGATAAGACCACCTGCTTGTTTGACTTCAATGCCTTTTGAGACATCAGAGCCCCTTGTTCTTTGTTTCAATAAATCTCGAAAGGAACCTGTGAAGAAAAGGAGTACTGAGGAAGTACCTGAAATAGGAAGCAAGGCAGATGGCTTACATTTTCTTTGCAGTCAAGAAGTAACTTGATCCTTGAGTTGAAAGACTGGCTGGCCTTGAAACACTTTTTTCTTTAGACTTTTTATGTGTGGATGTTTTGTCTGCATGTGTCTGGTACCACATATGTGCAGTGCCATAGAGGCCAGAAGAGGGTGTCAGATCCCCTGGAGCTGGAGTTACAGATTGTTGTGAACTTGTATTTAGATGCTAGGAACTGAACCCAGGTCTTCTGGAAGGGCAGCCAGTGCTCTTAGCCACTGAATTGCCTCCCCAGCCCTTGGCCTTGAAATTTAATTCAGTATTACTTTTTCCAGAAACAGTTATTTCAAAAGACTTCCATAGTTATTCAAAGCAAAATTCTATCTCCAATACTTCCTCCCTGTCAACAGTGAAACATTAGAGAAAAGGAAAAGAATTTGTAAGAGAAGGAAAGTACTTGTATGTCAGGCATCTCTTTTTCTGGTCATACAGGGAAAGTAGTTGCTTGATCTATTGTAAAAACTGTTAGATGCTTTTGTGTGAATACAGGCGCAAAGATGTGTCCCTGACATATTAAGCATACCAGAAAGAGTATTGGTCCTGTGAGCACATGGTTTGACTGTTTGCTTCTCATTACTCACTATAAAATTAGAACAATCACATATTCTTTCTGAGCCCATATTTTCTTACCCATGACACATGAAGATGTACTTTTTGCCAAAGTTCTTTGGTCATTACTCTCTTACCACACCTGTCAAATTTATAATAATCCTCCCTTCACCTCTAGACTGAGATTTTTAGGGTCTTTTGTATAAGATGGTGTCAAGTACAGGGCTAGCACATGGTAGAAGCTCAGTAACATGTCATTTGATGATAATTACATAAAAATTTATTGCAAAATATAATGGTATTGGATGAATACAAAACATTACTACCGACATTGTATATGTTGTGTTTGAAGGGTGTGTAGAAATTTCTATTTCCTAATCATAAAAATGAAAAAATAAGAACTAGGTAAATTCTTTTGAGAGTCCACATACTAAATTTTAAATGAGTTGCTTTCCATGGTGAAAGAATATGAATAAGTAATCATAAGTTGTTTGTTTGCCATACTTCCATTTATATAACAAAGTGCCTCATCTTAGCTTGTCTCTTCTAAAAAGCCCACATCAGATAATGGTTATGGTCCCCTCTTGGCTCATAGACTCCTCAGGATCCAGAGTGTCCTCGGGACTTGTCGGCTTTAGGTGTCCATTAGTTAATAGTTGTAGCTCAGCTTATTTATGTCTTTCTCTTCTTCCACCTCTGAGTCCTGTTTATTGCATACAGACTTTAGGAAGGAGAGACCCTCCCTCCTGAGGGCGTTTGACCACCTGACTATGGAAGGCATTTTCAGGATGGGCTTTGCTTTACAACCCAGCTGAAACTGTATAAGCAGTTCAGTGACACAGAGCTGCATTGGTTAGAATGAGTAATGAAATTTTCTTGCTGCCTGAGATGGATGTATTCTGCAAACCATGTGTAAATCAAATGCTACACTAAAAGCACTTAGGGAAGTCTATTATTCAGAATGCAATCCTTTGGTAGCTACTTCTAAGAAAATAAATGAAAATACCTAATTTCCTTATTCTGAGTTGTTCCATAGTGGGCTTGCTTCCAGAGATATTACCACTGCCTTCATTTTCCATGGTGCTTTGTTATTGTTAAGTGAACGTGCTGTCTGGGTGTTTTGCTTTTTGTGTTTTCTTTGTTGGATTGAAAAGGAGGATAAAGTACCAAGAAATGTGGTTGGGAGGTCAGCAAAGATCAGGCTTATTTAGGTAAAAAATACTCACTGAGTGCCTAATATTATATTCTGAATACTGACCATACAGAAATGGACAAAACCAAGTCATGGAGCTCTTGTTTTAGTAAATTATGGCCCTGTATGCCAATTTTTGTATATATCAAGAAGTCTGTGACCTGAAGAAAAATGATGTAGGTTTTATTCTGGAGGAACAGCCATTATCAATATTTTATTTTCCATTAAGAGGAAAAATGCTTTTTAAAGAAAGAAGAGATCGCACTATCGGCCTCTGCCTCAGGCTTTGAATCTCTTAATCACATAGGAATTGTTATTTCACAGAGTCTTAATGTCCTCTTACAATTGACCTAACATGTTTATCTTCCTTTTCATCTTGAGCTTTTGGGTTGGTTTAAGAAAACACTGCCATTTATGAAATAAAAGTCTTAGCCCTCGTGTTGGTATTTGTATACCACCTCCCAGTCAGCCAACTTAAAGTAGAAGAAAATAAACATCTAAAGATGTAGTTTGTAATGGCACCTTGAGCATCCATGGAGTAGGAGTCATAAGTCTTTTTTTATTTATTTTATTTTATTTTTATTTTTATTTTATTTATTTTATTTATTTATTTTTTTTTTTTTGCGTTTTTTGAGACAGGCTTTCTCTGTGGCTTTGGAGGCTGTCCTGGAACTAGCTCTTGCAGACCAGGCTGGTCTCGAACTCACAGAGATCCACCTGCCTCTACCTCCTGAGTGCTGGGATTAAAGGCGAGAGCCACCACTGCCCAGCTAAGTCATAAATCTTAATTGAGTAATCTGAAAACTAGCCAGACTTAACATTTATTTATTATCTACTGTGTATGCCTGGCCAGGTATGTTAATACTTTATAACCCTTCTCTCACTTCATTCAAACAATCTTAGGAAGTGAATCTTACACGCTTTTCCAGATTTAAAAAAAAAAAAAAAAAAAAAAAAAAAAAAAAGCACAAAAAAAAAAAAAATGATTTACTCAAAATAATTGTAAACCATAGAGGTGAAATCATCTAACCCTTTCTGCTCATGGTTTTTGTGACAGTGTTTAGTCATCTGTCTTCATTGTCCTTGTTGTTTTGTGGTACTGGGGATAGAACCCAGTGCCTTGCATGTGCTAAATAAGAGTTCTGTCATTGAGCCAAGTCACCTAATATAAAGTTTAGTATTAAGAGTATTAAGGATACACATTTACATAAATAGTACATTATAAATAGTACAGTAGCCTTGTCCTCCCTTTTCTGTTTTCAGTGTAGCTAGATAACTGTGAATTAAGTCATTATCATCCTAGAACTTAACTTTCAATAACCTCTCTTCTTTTCTACCCTGTAATCCCCCACACACTTTTTTTCCCTGCGTGGGACCAGAAAGAATGTGATACATGTTTACAATTGTTCTTATTTTGCTTTCAGTGGAATCTAACCAGAAAAGCTCATTCCAGGAAATCCCCAAACTTAATGAGGAACTTCTCAGCAAACAGAAACAACTTGAGAAGATTGAATCTGGGGAGCTGGGCTTGAGCAGAGTCTGGATCAACATCACAGAAATGAATAAGCAGGTAGCAAAAGTGTGACTTTATTCCTCTGTAAGCTGTGGAAATGGATTTACATTGTTCTTTGGCATTTAGTATAAGTTTATAAATTCAGGTTTTGTCTTCTTAAATTGGAGTTTAACTGCTGTGATCCCATCATGTTAAAATAGTAGTTATTCTCCAAAATTTGAAATGCATTTACCAGGTATTTAAAATGTTAACTCTTTCTGTACATGCAGAGTCCACAGAGGTAGAGCAGGTAGAGAGGAAGTAGTAAATACTTGAGTCAGCTTTTTCTTTTTTTGTTTTTTTGTTTTTTGCGAGACAGGGTTTCTCTGTGGCTTTGGAGGCTGTCCTAGAACCAGCTCTTGTAGACCAGGCTGGTCTCGAACTCACAGAGATCCACCTGCCTCTGCCTCCCGAGTGCTGGCATTAAAGGCGTGTGCCACCAACGCCCAGCTTGAGTCAGCTTTTTCTACAGAATAATTTAGGTATAAAATAAGGAGTGCCATCTAATTCCCAAAGAATGGGGCTAGCCTACTGTTAGCAGATCAGTTTTGTTTTGTTTTGTTTTGTTTCAGAGAGCTTACACTTAGAGTTTTAGCACTGGGGTATAGTGTTGTAGGTGGGAAGTCAGATCTACAACAGCCACAAAGCTCACCTTCAGCTGGAATAACTTTGGAGCAGACGGTAGTCAGGTAAATGCTTTGGCCAGACAAGCAAGTCTAGACAAACTCGTTCAGCCTCAGAGTTGTGCAGAGCTCAGTAGGCATTGCTTCCAAAAGAAGGAATCTACCAGAGAAGTGGTGTTTAGTCTAAGGATGTTGACCAAGTTTCTCACAGGTGTAAAGAGGCATAGTTACCACTGGGCTCTATGGCCCCATTCTCAGGTCTGGGTTTTGGGTTACCTGTTTTTTGTTGTTTTAGTTTGGCTTTTTGTTGTTGTTTTCCGGGGCCCAGTTTGTACCAGTCACATGCTACAGAGGCCATCTGTTCTGGACAGATGTCTTTGGGGCTGTGATCGGAGCCATCTGAACAGTCCTGGATCCATCCCTGAGTTGGGGAGTGCTGGACTGGGAAACGCCTTGCTACCCAACTGTAGGGGAAGCTGTAGCCACGCCTTCTTAGGGGCTGGCTACAGCTTCCCCTACACCCAAAGGCAATAAAGACGAGACACAGACACATCTTGTCATCTCAGGAGGGCTGTCAGTACATGCTGGAAACTGGAGTCCACAGTTTATTCAAGCTTCCTCTTAAATAGCTTTCCAACGGGGGCGGGGAGGGGGGGTGACCACAGAAGACATCTACTATCGTGTATAAAGCTGATATCAAATATTCCTTTAATCTTAGAGGCACCCCTAAAACTGCATGTTCTTACTAGCCTCTCACCAGTCCCTAGGCAGGTACACAAGCCCTCAGACATTCTACCAGCAAATCTCCCCAGTCTCAGAATGGGTATGAGTTCACCCAGGGCCTAGGTCTGTTGTTATGCAAACTAGGAGACAGTCTCCACTGAGGCCCAGCCCTCGGGTGATAATCAGCCAGACATCTAAAAGAAATAGAAATAGAGCTGAGGTTTGGACCCCAAAACTTTATAATTGATATTTTTTGGGCCCCGACAGTTGTTTTCAGTTTAGTTAGGGAAAGATATGGTCATTGAGAAGAAAACTCAAGTACCAAATGAATAATACACATGCAAAATACTTAAAATTAGGTTTGTCATCTTTGTTGGAATGAAGAGAACACTCTCTTCAGGGTAGAATCCACAGAGTCCTAGAATGAGCCAGTAGGAAGCCCTGTTAGAAGAAAGGGCTTGTAGATATTTATAAAGTTATACCTTTTGGCCACATTTTGAGAGAAGCATAGTTCAGTGTTTAAGACTAAAACTCAGTGGTCTAGGAAAGTGGCTCCTGCCTGGAACTCACAGTAAAAATGTCTACATTGCCCAGTAGACATGCATAGCAACATGCTATGGTTTGAATGTGTCTCCCAGTTCACGTGTCAAGTGTAAGTGGAAGTGGAGCCTTTGGTGAGTAGTTAGCATTTACCCCAAAATGGTACTAGAAGAGAAAAAGAAAGCATGCTGGCACACTTGTTCGCTCTTATCACATGCACGTGATGCCCTCCACTGTGTTGTGATGGAGCAAAAATATCCTCATCACATGCAGTCACATGTTCTTAAATGAGCTAAAATAAGCCCACTTGTAAGTCACCCACCTTATAGTATTTAGCGGTGGCCATAGGAAGTAGACTAAGACACCATAAGTAGCTAAAATGAAATAAGTAGCTGAAAGCAGTGGCTCACCTGGAAAATGTTCAGTGCCTTATGGCTTTGTATTCCCTATTCATTCCTATTTAGGGGTTTTGTTTTATTTTGATTTTGGTTTTGAGACAAGAGTTTCATTATGTACCCCTTGTAGGCCTAAGTGCTAAGATTGTATGAGCCACTGTCCCGGCTCTATTTCATTTTATTTTTAATCACACAGGAAATAATTGATGGGTAATAACAAGTAGTATTTACTAGTTAACATTTATTCTTAGGCTCTCAGTAATTCAAGAAAAGCAGAAATTCATTCCTTTTGTACACAAAGACTAGAATCAACTGTGGCCCTGCAGTCACACAGCAAATGAGCAGTGTGGACAGAGGTGACATCAGGTGCAAGTAGCACTGAAGCTCCGAGAAAACATTTCTCCTGGGCAGTCTGTGGATTCCATTGGCCAGAATAGAGTCCATCCATTCTCACACAAAGATAAGATTGCTTTGCATAGAAAGACAAACAGCAACTCTCTGTTTCCCATCTTCTCCTCATATGTTGACATACTCAAGGACTGCTCAAGGAGAGAATTGGCACTTGGTGTGGAGTAAGACGTCCTAGGGCTTTGTGTGTGCAACTAGAGAAAGTTAGACTGATACTCTTTGCAGATGAGTAGCCCCATGCTTTGCAAGATGCCAGACTGATTTATAAAGTCAACCGAATATAGAGGAGTTCTCTGCTAGTATAAACCAGAAGATGGACAGGGGTGAGGTAGAGCTGAATGTTGTTTCCTAAGGGAGCTTAGCAGTCTGAGTGGTTTTCTAAAGTTAATGCTATGGATCTGGTGCTCTATTCATCTGAGGTAAAATAGGAATAAAAGTAAAAATAATATTTAATCATGTTTCTATTTCTAATGGTAATTATCAATTCAGGTGCTTCTAGTGGCACTTTTAAACAAATGAAAGCGACTTAAACATCAAGAAAATATATTCTGTCACTTAACAAGAACTATTCCTACTACCAAGTAAGCTGAAGTTAATTTGGGCTTGGAAAAGAAGGCCATCTGGCTGGGAAAGTTAAATTCCAACTTTACCTTGAAAATCTTCAAGCTAGTATGTGAAATGTTATTTACAATCATTTTTATTCATGAAACCTCTGATGTTATGCCCACTCCCTCTTGACGGTTACAAGGACCTCCCTTTCTGTAGAGAACAAATGTTTACAGAGCTGCTTTTATGGCGTTAAACCTTTGCCTCTGTCTTAGTCCGTTCAGACTGCTCTAACTAAATGCTTTAGACTAGGTAACTTACAAACAATAGGAATTGATTACAGTTCTGGAGGCCCAAGAGTCCAGGATCAGGGTGCCAGAGGGTTTGATCTCTGGTGAAGGCTCACTGTCTGCTTCATGCATGGTGTCTTCTTGTTATATCTTCATTAGCATAAGGGGCAAAGTAGCATCATTGAGCTATTCACGAGGCTCAAGCCCTCTCCTATTGTGCTTGAAGGGCCCCACCTCTTACTGCTACGACTTTGGAGATTTTGAACATGAGACTTAGGGGAGCACTAGCATTCAGACTATAGTATATTTAGAACCAAAAAAGATGCAATTCCTTACCCCAGTGGACAAACAGAAGATAGGAAAGTAAACAGCTTGACATGAAGCATATGGTTCAAATGCTGAGGGCATATTTAAATGAATATCCAGCCCAGACTGGGATCAGCCTTCCCAGAAACACTGGGCTAAGTCCTGAAGGGAAATGGACCAAGTGGAGAAGAGAGGAGGTTATACTCAGTAGGACAGTATAGCTGACCCTCATAATTTTATCTACTTGCTAAAATCTATTTGTAACCTCAAAATCTGTAAGTATGAGGTTTTTTCGGTCATCCACTGATGTATGCACAGCAGTAATAACCCACAGACACTGACAGCTGGAGTAGAGCAAAATAGAGCCCTACTTTCTAGTCCATTCTCATACTGTAGACAAGTGGGACTCTGTGGTGTATTTCATGTCACCTCTCACATTGCTGTGCCCCTTGTTAGTGATTTCACTGCTAGGTAGGCTTCCTTCAGGCATCACTTGCAGTGTTCAGGGTTAATAAGTCAGCAGTATCATTAAATAAGATGTTTAAACAGGAACATGTGAAAAACAAAGTTATTTATTATATTGATAAGTTACTGAAAACATGACCAATGGGCTCACAGGCACCTAGCCCCTACACCTAGGAACAGTGGTTTAGCATTCACTAATTCAAAGTTTGCTGTAGCTTTTCAGAAGATAACTACCCAGTGATGAGAATGGACAGCATTTGTAAAAGAATAGGTAAGTGAAAAGACTTCATATTAAGGAAATTTTTGTCCTTCCTTATAACCCTAGTTGGGCACAGAAAGAAGCCAGAGATAATGTAAGTCAACAAGCATTGTTGTCAAGGACCTTAGGTGCCCTTCGTAGTTTCCTGCTGCTCTCTTTTAAGCACTTGTTTGATGGTCGTTTGTAAATGCATCTAATTGCATTAGGAGATTGTACACTGTTTTCTGCCTCAGGCATGGTGATGAAACTCTAGGTGGTAATGGTGATAACTGTTATACATTAAATGTTTTCTTTGTGCCAGCCACTCTATTGGCTGTACTGCATGTATAATCTCCTTTCTCTATGTACTGAGTCACATGAAGTAAGAAGTGGTACCCCCAGTGGTGGTGCATTCCAGCACTCAGGAGGCAGAGGCAGGTGGACCTCTGAGTTCCAGACCAACCTGGTCTACTGAGTGAGTTCCAGGGTAGCCAGGGCTGTTACACAGAGGAACCACGTCTGGGGGGATGGGCGGGGACCAAAAGAAAATTGAGACTCAAAAGAGGTAAAAGGTCACAACTGTCTAGCAGTTTAGCATTGAAATATAAGTCTTGGGAACCTGTTTTTCTTCCATTTTTTATAGGATTAAGTAGGGCTAGGTGCACATCTTTAATTCCAGCACTTGGGAGACAGAGGCAAGAGAATCTCTAGCGTTTAAGGCCAACCTAGTCTACATAGTGAGTTACAGTACAGTCAGGACTATGTAGGAAGTCCTTATTCATAATCATTCATCATTTGTGACTATTGTTTTCTCAACTTTTTCCTCACTAAAGAACAGTAAGTTCAACCCTAAAGAAAAAATAGCATTCCTGCTTTTGAAGTATAAAATTTATATTAAGTAAATAGTCATAGTGGCTATTTTTACTTTTGCTGATTTAAAAAAGTCATATAATATGCATAGAAATCATAACTCATCTTTTGGCTAGAATGTGATTTTTTTTTCCTTAGTGGTTTTTATTTAACTCAGTTTTTAGTGTTTTCAGATTGTAAAATGTGATGTTTTAGTAAATTCTGTAATGCTTGAATCCAATCTCACATTCTAGAATGTCTGTTTAAAGTCAGAGATAATGGGAGAATACACCCTTGTCTCTCCAGTCCCATTAGACATGTGCATTTACTGTAGTTTCCCACACAGTTTGGCTCTACTGAAGAGGGAAGGTCCAGGGTGTAAAACTGAGCTGGTGACCAGTTTGTAATCCAGGTCCTTTAGATGAGAAAAACACTGTGTGACTGGTAACTGCAGAGTTGACAGTCAGCTCTCCAGAACACTCTCTCAGGAATGCAGCTGACACTCTAGAGTCTAGACCTACAATGTTTGTGACACAGAGAGAAGACAACCTAGCCTAGTCCTCCTGTGTTGGTTTTTATTACTTCCCTAGTTTTAAGTGAAATATCAGCTTCCAGCAGCTATGCTAGCCTCCTCTGAGACCATAATGTTCCTAAGATACTTCTGACTAGTTCTGCCGTAGCCTCAAGATGTTGACAGAACAGTTTCTGTCCAGATCACCCAGAGCTCAATGTGTTATTATCCCTTTAGGGTCTGGCCAATTGTCAGTGAAAGGAGTTTATTCAGAAGTGTCTGAAAGATACTGCATAATAGGGCATGTAGAGTAATTGTAAAACATACCTGGGAAAGGAGTCCCTTCTCTTCACATTTGTACATGGTTGTCTCATGTCAGTAATACCATCTGCACCTCCTATGTATTTGTGAAGCTGTCACAGCTTTTAATACATATCAGCTTATGGGTTATACCAAGCATATGTAAATAAATGGAGACTTGGATATGTGGTGTACTATAGTGTCCTTTGTTCACTGAATATATCTACACATCTAGTGATAGGCATTTAAATTATTCCAGTGTTTTGCTGGTACAAATAAAAAAGACTTGTTATGCATATTTCTTTGTGCATGAGAGCAAGTAATCTTCTGGATGGGTTTCTATAAATGAAGTTGCTGAACAAAGGTTATAAACATTTCCAGTTTTGAGGGCTGTTCCTTCAAAACAATCCTTTTCCAGTTCACATTCCCATAACAATGCGCAAGAATGCCTGTTTGTTTAGGTTCTTTGAAGCCTCAGTATTATCCATAGCTTCTTAAAGAAATGGCACCAAAAAAAAAAAAACAAAAAAACAAAACAAAACAAAAAAAACCTTCCTGATGTAATTGCTACTCTATGAAGTTTATAGCTTTCTAAAAGTATTTCTCAGTGTGGGCTGAGGTGTCTCACCTTTCTGTTTTGAAATGGCTAGAGTTAGAACATTAGTGACTGGTCTGCATGTTTGAGAACACTTAGGATGGCTTGTGTAAAAACTCACTCAGTTTCACTTCTGAAGAACTGTGCTGAGCTTTAGTCACATGTGTCATTTAATTCTTGTAAGCTATATTAATCATCTGTTGCTGGGTTACATTTGATCTCCAAATTTAGTGGCTCATACAACAACCCTTCATTATCTCACACTCCCTGTATGCCAGGAATTGTGAAGCAGTTTAGCAGAGTGTTCCAGCTGAATCCCTGGGGTTGCAACTAAGGTGTCAGCACAAAGAAAATGCCAAATACTTATTGAAAGAGTGAAAAGGAATCTGGTCCCCCTGTGTCTCACACCCTCTGGTGCCTGCCACAGCTTGGCTGGTAGCAAGTATCCAGAAAGTTGAGTGTTTGTGAGGCGACTTTTGTTTCAATTCTTGGTAGACCTTTATTCTCATCCTAAAATTTAGAAAAGGAAAGCAGTGTGGCACCAAGACTCTTTGAAAAGTATTTTGAGTTCACACTGCAGGACTTGTTAGAATGTGAACTCAGAGCCTGAAATTACATGTTACACAGGTTCCCCCAGTTCCCATTCGGATAGGAGTAAGGTACTTAGATCCTACCCCTAAGTAGTAGAAAGAAAGCCACATTTTATTTTGATTCAATTCCTGTTTTAATACATTCATTGCATCCTTCAGTGAGTCAGTGGGTATTTATTGAGCTCCTTCAGGGTACAAAGTAATGCTTTGGTTGAGCTATTGAGTTTGAAATATTAATCACATTATTAAACCAAAACCAAGTCCCTGAGTAGTTGAAAGTGCTGTTCAAGTTGTCAGGATACAGTTCCTGTGGACTATATTTTGTGATGATGGGCTTTTACTTTATAATATATGTTCCCACTCGGACAGGAACAAAAGTTCAGTTAAATATGTGTTCTATTTTACCAAAGTGAAGTTTTGAAGTGGACCTTGATCATCAGTTTTTTTTCCTTTCACCTATTGAAGGATTGTGTGGTAATCACTGCATCTTTTGAGTAATTTAAGAGTTTTGGGCCTTGCAGCCACTAGACTAAGGTAAAGAATGACACTCTGCCTCCTTGGCATCAGTTTAAATTGGGCAAGAAAGGAGAGGGATTAATGCTGCTTCCTGATTCTCAGATCTTCCCAGAACACTACAGTTCCTCTGCTCCTGAGAGCTGACATGTACCTTGACATTGTGAGCTGTAGAGTTTGTGAAGGAAGCACATACTCTATAAATTCTGTTTTCTTTGTTTCTTGATCTTTTTCAGATTTCTCTGTTGAGTTCTGCAGTAAATCACCTGAAAGCCAATGTCAAGTCGGCTGCAGACTTACTTGGCCTGCCTAGCACTGTAGAGGGACTTCAGAAGGTAAGTGCTATGTTTAAGCACTATGATTATCCTAATGCTGGAATTCTTAAGACTTCACTTTGAAAACCTGGCATCTGAAATCAGCTGCTTCAGAAGAGCAGTGTGAAGTATGCCGTTGTGTTCTGTGGAGTTCACAACAACTTTGATAGTTGGGCCTTTAATATTCAGCAGGTTACTTTATGGTTTATACAGTTTTTCATTTGTCTGTCTGTGCTCCAGAGTTGCTCTGCTGGGACCACTGTGTTAGCAGGTAACAGTTTATTTTTCAGTTTGTCATTACACTATCTTCATGAGCCCAGACCGGTTGTGGATAAGAGTGCTCTACACCTCTACTTTTCCATGGTTGGAAAGGAGTTGAATTGTTTGTTTTGTTTTGCTATTTAAAGATGATCTAAGATGAAGTACAGAAATTAAAAGTTAAGGAGCTTGTGTGACAAAGGGTACTTTTAAACACTCTCAGGTAGAAATTGAAAAAATTACTTTGGAAACAATTTGGTATTATTTTCTAAAGGTGTCTGTATAAGTTCTAAACAATTTCTTATGGCTACTCAATAAACCTCAGGGCCTGTGCAAACACCAGTTCATAATTTCTGTTTATTTGACCCCTGGTGTGTAGAGTTAACAGCAGACAAGTAGAAGCCAGAAGGATGATTCTCAGGAAAGCCTAGAGCTGGGTGGGGACATTAAAGAGAGTTGAAAGGGAAAACAAGATTTCTGATTGAACACAGAGAACATCGCCCCATAACAAAAAATGAAAGAATGATTGTAGGAATTAATTGTTCCTTGCACAGTGAATTTTAAATCTAGGATCCTTGGCTTTTAAAAGTTAGCCTGTGATGTTTGATTCAACTATACGCCAGGTTCTGTCCATAAATGTCTGAATTGTTACACAAGGTGAGAAATTGCTAAACCACAAACAAAAATACAACTTGATGTTTTACAACCAAGCATTGTGTGCTCATTCCCAGTAAATTGCTGCTTGTCCAGTATGGTCATCTGATCTCAACATTTAAATTTAAAAGGCTGAGGCAATTTTAATGAAGCAGATTCTTGCCATGGTTCCCAAGAACCAAGTTGGAAAAGGCAGGCCTCTGTAGCCTTACAGAAGCAACTTTGGCAGTCTTACATTAAAAAGGGAAACTGGCTTGTTCTTGCTCTCGTTAATTCAATAAACACTCGTGGAGCTTCCTCCAGTGTGTACCAGGCACTCTGCAGTTGGTAGGAATACTAGTTTCAGAGTTTCATTCTAGGATTTACATGATCTGTCAGCTGCTTTCCTAAAAAAAGCAACTGCCAAACAAGAGCTCACTATCTTCCTGTGCCCTGCCTGCCTCAGCCAGCCAGCCAGTGAGGATTCTCTAACAGTAGGTGTCTTTGAGCGTCTGGTGGCTTTTTGCAACAACAGTGCTTACATAGCTTAGAGACTATGAGAGCTTAGAGACTGCCCCAAATGTTACCTCTTTGCAAATCCTGCTGGGCACTACTTTTATTGCAAATGATGATGCAGTTTTGAAATAGTAGTTCATCTCCAAAACCTAGCCAGCTTTCATTTATGTCATGAAAATGTTGCCATCTCCTGTTCTCTTGAATTCTTGTTTCAGTGTAATTTTAAAATGCCTTGGAGACTTGGATACAGCTCTGCTGGTGGAGTGCTTGGCTAGCATGCACAAAGCCCTAGATCCCCAGCGCCACATAAAACCAGTTGTGGTAATGCAGACCTATAATCCCAGCATGTGAAAGGCAGGAAGATCAGAAGTTCAGAGCCATCCTTGGCTGTGTGGCAAGCCTGGGCTACATGAAACTGCCTCAAAACATTAATATATTTTTGGTTGAAAATACTGTTGTCACATGCTAAATTTTAGTCGGTATGTCTTAATAAAAGGATAAAACCCAGCAAATAATAACATTCTTTTGGATTTTTTTTAAAAAGTAATGGAGGCTGAAGAGATGGACCATTGGTTAAGAGCACATACTGCTCTTGCCAAGGACCAGAGTTTGGTTCCTTAACTCCAGCTTCAGGGGATGCAATGACATCTTTTGGACTCCACAGGCACTTGCATTCACATGCACATACCTACACATACACTCATTCAAATATGCTTAACTTCTTAATTTTTTAAAGATGAGTTCTGAATCATGACCTCTGTATACTTGGGTTCTTTAGGACTACTAAGAGCAAAGTAAGTAGTTACTTAACTATACTCATTGCTGACAAAAGTCTACTGCCAGCTGGGTTTCCTAGAGCCAGAAATCATACCCACTCAATTTTGCTCAAAAGTCATCACTTAATACACCTGATTGTTGATACTCAACAGCATTGACTCTAGCCATCTACTTGCCTGCAGGGTGTTTAACACACATAGTTTAGGGGTAAGCATATTATCTGTGAGTCCCAGATTTATTCTTTTTTTTTTCAGAATATAACTGTTATAAATAATTTTTTTAGGAAAATGGATTTTATTTAGGAAAAATTGTGGATTCCCTTAATTGTGGAAAACTATTCATAGAGTGAATGTTTATGTTTTTTGCTAACTGTTTCCCTATAAGTTACATGGAATTCATAGTTTGAATATAGTTGAAATAATTAAAATATTGATCTATATTTAGTTAGTGCTTTAGTCTAAATTAAAATCACAGCATACCACAACACTGCCATTAGAATGGGTAATTCTTTTAAATTAACAGCACCTGTATTTGTGACTTATGGAGTAGTAGGAGCCCTCTTGAATAACATTAATGGGACTGTAAAATGCTTGCAAGTTTTTTAAGAAGTTAAGCCATATTGTCAGCTGTTCATCTACGTATTGTGATAATGAGAAAGTCTGAAGGGAGATGATGGGACAAGTCCACACGTAGATTTACACATGAATGTTTACAGCAGTTTTATCTGTAATAGTCAGATACTGAAAATAACTTCAATGTCCATTAACTGCTGAATAAACAAGTTGATAAAACCACACAATGGCATGTAACATGCTGAACAGCTTAGACATCACTGAATCTCGGTTGCACTTAGTAAAAGAAGACATACTTTAAAAAAGTTTTAGAAAGTATATATCCATTGATTCCCTTTAGGTAAGTTCTAGAAAATGCAAACCTATACATAGTGACAGAAAGTGAATAAATAGTTGTCTTGGGAAGTTACAGAGAGGCATGAAGAAATTGGGGTGGGGTAATACTATTGTTTCTATTATGGAAATGGTTTCACAGATTTATTATTCATTTTGAATATGTACATGTATTGCGTATCAGTTATACTTAGTAAAGCTCTTAAAAGGGGAAACTGATGTTCCTACATTGTTTCTATTCAGAGTGTAGCTTCCATTGGCAATACTTTAAATAGTGTCCATCTTGCTGTGGAGGCAATACAGAGAACTGTGGATGAACACAAGAAAACCTTGGAATTACTGCAGAGCAATATGGTAAGATCTGTAAACACTACAGAAAGGCAGCATGTGCCTGATCACCATTTCCTGTATTGGTCATGATTCCAAAAAATGTTTAATAAGCAATAGCAATGTGTACTCATTGGTCTGCTGTCTGTAAGTCAAACCATTAAGGTAGATAGTATTGAAAGCTAGGTCTTTTATAAACATGATATTGGAGACTGGAAAGATGGCTCAGGGGTTAAGAGTACTGGCTGCTCTGTCTGAGGTCTTGAGTTCAATTCCCAGCAACCTCATGGTGGTTCACAACCATCTGTAATGAGATCTGGCTGGTGCCATCTTCTGGAGTGCAGGCATACATGCAGGCAGAACACTGTATACATAATAAATAAATCCTTTTTAAAAATGGTATTGGAGATGCTCCTAACACATTTTCCAAAGATGGAACAAGTAGGGTAGGAAAAAAAGAAGACCAGAAAGGTATCAGAAAAAGGGAAGGGAAGTAGAAAATTGTCTCATTTATTGCTGCAAAGCAAACCACTCCAACAGGTTATTGTTTCTCACTCTTCTGAGAATCAGAGATTTGAGCAGGGTTTTTACACCCCTGTTGCTCAGAGACCAGTGGAAGAGATGATCTAGAGGAAGAAAAGTCATCTAGATGTTCCAGCTCCCACTAGGTGTCAGTGGAATGTAGCCATATGTATCGTCTCACACCAGACCACATAAAATTGTCTTCTGCCATCCCCTGAATTGAACTCAGTAAGCCCACAGAATAGTGAGAAATAAAGCATTTTTGTTATTTCAACCCCAAAATTTGAAGATGATTTATAATGTAACAACAAATAGCTGAGATGGAAGCAAAGCCTTTGCCATTTTTAGACATCTTAGTCTCCTACTGCAGCTGCACATACAAGCTCTCCAGTCATCCTGGCAATAACCACTTTATAACAGCTCCCTGGAGGATTTATGAAGGTAGAAAAAAGGATGGCACAACCCTTGTTATCCTGATGGAGAAACAAGTTGACTTCAGTTTGTACCAAGGAACCTGAGCTGCATCAGAGAGTTCCAGAAAGGAGGGTTTTCATTTGAACTAGTACTTGCCGTTATTTAGTGGAGCTAACCTAAAAGGAAAAGTTTCAACATAGGTGTCCAGACACCTCGCTTCTAATTCCATCTGCCACTGAGGACCTCTGTACCCCTTAATAATAAAGATATAACTCACCAATTCCTTGGTTTTGTGCATGTTCTCAAGTAATGAGCCATTTCCTAAAATACTTTTTCCTAACTATCTTCTGCTTCCTAAAACCACAGGTGTTACATCTTTTTCTTTTTAATTTTACCTTCAATTTGTATGAAAGCAAGGTTGATAAATATCTAGGAGTTAAGATTTTAAGAACTGTTTTGCCAATTACACTGTTTGTAATTGAATTGGCATCTTTTAACCTTCCATGACTACTGATAGTAATCTTCCTACTAGCACATTGTACTAAATTTTAGCGGCGGACTGTAAAGGAATCAGCTTTATAGTTTTTCCCAGTAAAGGATGAAAATGTATCTAAGCATATTATATATAAGTGTCTGCAAAGAGAGACTGGAGCAGTAGGGAGAAAGGGGAAGAGAAGAATCAACCTCTGATACAGATATCAGCATATAGTAAGGGAAATCCAATCGTGTGCAAGTTCACTGTCATGAAGGAGATTAGAGAAGAGTTTGTAAAAAATTCATTCCATTGAGAAACTGAGACAGACACTAGGAGGAGCTCAGATTCCTGGGGTAACCTGGGTGCTGCTGTCCAGCCTCTGCTTCATGCTGGGTACCCTCAAAAGTCCATGATACCCTTGACACCTTTCAGATGGTTCACAAGTTTTGGGGGACTCCTGTAGATTAATCCATGGCTACATCCTAGGGAGGTAAGAGTGTTCTAGGACCATCTGAGATGGTTAAGTAACCTAGTAGTTAGTTGTTGCTTATGTACTAACTTCCATTTGTGTTAACATTTCTTAAAGGAGATCAATGGAAGCAACAAAGAGCTTGATAATAAAACCAACAGTGAAAGTTCAAAACAGGTACTTTTTGCTTGGGACTATGATGGGCTATAGAAGCAGTCTGAGGAATGTGGCCTTAACATCCATGGAAAGCCTTACCCTCTCTGAGGAGTGGAGAGGGGGTGGGGTGGGGGAAGAAGGGGGTAGCAGGAAGAGGGGAAGGAGTAGGAACTGGGATTGGTATGTAAAATGAGAAAAGATTGTTTTTAATATATATATATATATATATATATATATATAGTGCCCCAGTAGGTGCCTCAGAAGGTGCCTCATACATCACCCTCCCATCTGAGAACTGAGTAGAAAGGGTGGGTGTTGGCACTTGGGAATCCTGTCTCTTCTGTGGTACTCTGCTTTCTTCCTTGTATGTCAACCAGTGAAGTAAATTCCTTTTCATATTTTGAATGACATAAAATGATCAGATTATCCTGAAACTCTATGGCAAATAACAATCTGGGCAAATAAAAGATGGATGCAAAATCCAAAGTGATGGCTGTTTTGAGTCACAGAAACCTCTAAGATCACTGAGAAACATATCCTTGAAAGTTGGTGTTTTCTAAAGTCTAAAGACAAAGGGCAGGAGGGGAGGAATGCTAGGTTCAGAATCACATTAAAGAGAATAAAGAAAATCTTCTCTAAGAAGAATTTCTGTCCTGAGTTTAATGCCCTTTAAAACCTATGGTAATTATTCCTTTTTAAGTAGCAATCAGTACTAGAAGATGTCAATAAAAATAATTGAATCTTGTACTAAATAATGCACTACTTGCTGTGCTTTTGTTACACAAGCCAATTCAGTAATTGGTATTGTTCCTAAGGTAGTTTTGTTCTGACCAATTAAGTTAATGGGACTTCAGTTAATAACCCAATGTGCTCTCCTGCCAGCAAGTGAGGTAAACACTTTGGGGAAATTAATTCCCAAACTCACTGCTTTGAGTGGGAGCTTGCAGACAGTTCTCTTCTTTACCCTCCTGTCTAGCTGAGGCCAAACAATTCAAGAGAGGGCAAATTGGGACCAGTTTAAAGAAAGAAGAGCAAAGCAGATCTAGGCAGTTGGAGATTGCTGCCAAGAAAAGTACCTTACCTTGTTGACATAATAATGGTTGCTGCATTTCTCCTATCCTACTTGTCTAGTTGCAGTATTTAGGTGGATGTCATAACTCATTGTTTCCACTCTAGGATATCCTGTACCTTCACAACTCCTTAGAGGAGATCAACAGTACTGTAGTGGGATACCAGAGACAGAGTAACCTTAAATTTGAGGGGATGAACGAGACACTCAGTAACCTGACACAGAGACTCAGCCTGATGGAAAGTGATGTGGCTGCACTGAACAAGGCAGAAAAAAGAGCAAACCTGACCTCCAGCAGGGTAAGCCTTTTCAGATCTGCTGTGGCATGCTCTATGTCGGTGTGTGTTGTCTGTACATAGATGTAATTCCCTCTCCTTATGTGAACAGTAGTCTGGCATACTTAAGAGGCTACACATTTGTTTTGTGCTTAACTTACTCCTGCTTAAATTTATATAGCAGTTCTCTGAAGTGCACAGGGTATGTGTGTTTGAAAGGGGTAAGATCAAGGATCAGTTTAAACACATCAACTCACTAGGACTTGTTGGCAGGAATAACAAGTCTCTTACAATGTTGCCAGTGTTTATGTTTTTCCAAAGGAGGTCTTTTTTCCTTTCCTTTCCCTTTCATTTCCTTTCTTTTCTTTCCTTTTCTTTTTCCCCCTTAAGGTATTAGAAGTGGTAAGAGCAGCAGATACAACAATCTTGTGCAATTTTTTAAACCCTGAGCTTGGCTTTCAGATTCATCCTGCTCCTGTCTGCATATTAAAGGAAACCTTTTGCATATAATGTTAGGGAAACCATCTAAAACAGATGAAGTTGCTTCTATAAATAAACCCTAGTGAAACCAATAGGGTTACACAGAATCTGAAAGGAGAAGGGGGAGTCCATGGGAAGGAGGAGATTAGCAGGAGTGGGAGGAATACAGAAGGGTTAATGGGGGAGTGGGTGGAGGTGATTATGATAAATATGTTATGTACATGGATAAAAATATAATGAAACCCATTATGATGTATAACTAATATTTTCTAGTAAAAACACTTGTAAAAAGATGAAATCAGGCCAGGTGGTGATGGTGGCACATGCTTGCTAGCTCTGAGGGTCACTGGTTTCATGATCTCGTGAACAGAGTCTGTTTGTTTTTAACCACATTTCATCTATACATCCTGGTGGGATTCATGTGGATCATTTTGTTAACAGTGATAGGTCTCACTTTTAAAGGTTCAATAGAGCAAAAACGTGGTACAGTTTTTGATGGAAACCAAATTCAGGAAACCACACTGTAAATTCAAGTAAAAGCTAGAAGCTAACCCACACATAAAATTGAACCCTGACACATGGTAAGGAATGCTTGAGCTGGCTCTGCCACAGTGAACTTTTGGCAAGCTGCCTAAATATGGCTTTGAAAGGTGGGGTTAAAAGACCTGTCCCCCTCTGACTGGCCCTCCTGCTTTACAAGAGTGTGTAATTTACTACAAAGCTGTGAAGATTAAAGGAGCCCTAGTTTTTAAAGCCCTTTTGAACTCAGCTAAGCTAAGTAGGAGCTGAGAACGTTGAATGATTTGATGAATAATGTGCCTTGAAGGGTTTTCAAGGCTTATTGTGAAAACTTACCACCCCAAGCCCCTTGCAGTCTCTGCCATCCCCTTCTTATTTCTATCCAGCAAAGAGAATTGGTAATAGTATCCATCTGTCTTACTATTTCTTCCAATAGCCTCAGACTGAGCCTGGATCTGGGGAGAAGCCTCTATTCCCACTTCCTGTTTCCTTGTGCCCGTCTCCATTCTCTGTCTCTCCCACTCCTTTGCCATTTGTGTTTAAAGTGTTCAGATCCTTTCAATAATTTGACCAATTTGTTTAAGAAGTTGTAAGTGTCAGAGTTGGAGAGATGGCTCAGTTAGTAAAGTGCCTGCCACACAACATGAAGACCTGTGTTCAGATCCCCAGTATCCACATAAAAGCTGGACACAGTGGCCTGAATCTGAAACCCATTAGTGCTGGGAGTAAACAGAGACAAATTCCTGGAGCTCATTGGCCAGCCAGCCTAGTCGAAATGCCAAGCTTCAGGTTCAGTGAGAAAGCCTGTCCTAAAAAGAAAAAGGTGAAGAATGATTGATGATTGTCAGCCTCTGCCTACACATACATACATACATACACACGCGCGCGCGCGCGCGCGCACACGCATGAGCGTGTATAAACACATATGTAAAACACACAAAAGTATTTCCTGTCATCCAAGTTTTAATGTTTTAACCTTTTCCTCTGTTTTCTTTACCCTCTAAGATGGGAATAGGGCTTCCACTCTGAAAAGAGAGTCTTTGGTTAACAACAGAGCTACTACTGTAAAGGCCCAGGGCATAGTGGTAAACAGGAGGCTTCTGTAAAGTAAACAGATGCATCAGCATCTCCACACTGTTCGCTCTAAGAGGAGCACTTTGATCTCTTGTGACAAACTCCAAGGCAGAGCAATTTGTAAGTTAGGGTACTAGTGAGTGAGTGAATATCACACCAGGTACCTACCTTGTGCTCATCACTTTACCAGGAGCCACGATGGCCACAGTGAATGACACAGATACATGACCCCTATTGTGGTATAGCTCACAAAGCTGGACAGATACTTAATCACAAGTCTGGTAAGTACTACAGTGGGAAAGCATAGGGATCAGGTGGGCTTTCCTAGTTTTTAAGCTAAAACAGTTACTGTCCCAGTCTGCTTTTGTTGCTGTGACCATGACCAAAAGCAACACAGGGAGGAAGGCTTATTACATCATATGAGTTACAGTCCATTATCAAGGAAAGCCAAAGCGGGAGCTTGAAGCAGAAACTATGGAGGAATGCCACTTACTGGCTTGTTTTCTCTGGCTTTCTCAGCTTCTTTTCTTATACAACTCAGGCCCACCAGCCTACGGATTTCACCACCCTCAGTGGGCTGGACTCTGTCTCCTACATCAGTTAACAATTAAGAAAATGCCCCATACACATGTCCACAGAGCAGTCTAATGGAGGCAGTTCCTCAACTGGGGTTCCTTCTCCTCAGGTAACTCTAGTTTGTGTCTAGTTGACAAAAATTATTTAGCACAAATATCTAAACTAATGATAGGGGACAGGGGCATAATTTAAAACTGGTGTCCAGCTTAAAAATCATTTTGCATTTAGATTGCATTCTCAAGACTTTCATAGTCCTTTTTAAGTCCTGCTGAGATAAAGGGAAAGCCAGGAAGAGGTGACAGAGTGACTATAGCTTCATCTGAGGTGCACACAGTGTTTGAGTTCAGAGGATATGAGGTTCATAGTAGATGAACTTGGCTGAAACCATAGTGTAGAAGCTTTTGATATAAAGCTTTCTATCTTTACTTTTTCATCCTTAGCAATTTTAGCTTAGCAGTTTTATCCTTACCAATTGTCTAGATAAATTCATGTATATTTAAGATTTTGATGCATTATAAGCTGGGCTTTTATTGATTTTTTTAAGCTGCTTCTGTGCATTTTTCAAACCTCAGAGAATGACAAGAAAATTTTAAGAACCAGATTTAAATGTTGAACACACACACACACACACACACACACACACACACACACACACTAAAAAAAAAAAAAAATATTGACAAAAAAAAAAAAAAAAATATTGACAAAAAAAAAAAAAAAAATATTGACAAAAAAAAAAAAAAAAATATTGACAAAAAAAAAAAAAAAAATATTGACAAAAAAAAAAAAAAAAATATTGACAAAAAAAAAAAAAAAAATATAAAAACCAAATTTAAAAATGGAACACACACCCACACACACACACACACACACACACACACACTAAAAAAAAAAAATAACAGATGGTTACTATTAGAAAGTAGTAGTGATTTCAACAGTAATTCACATTTTAACAGTCAGGTCATAACACAGTACCACATTCCTTGTGTTTTATAACTTCATGACAGCCAATCAGTCTCTGCATGTTATCTCATCAAAGCATCCCAGCCAGATTCATTTTCTCCTGGCAGTAAACATTTGTTATCTAGTTTCGTTCAGATGTCCATATTGGATCTCCCTGAGTAAGCCAAGTATCCACTGTACAGTAGCTGTTAGGGTAGGAGTAAAGATAGGAAAGGGATGAGAAATAAGATGCAGTGGTACTCCTATGTTTATAGGACCAGGCCTTTTTATACAATAAGCAGATACAGGAAAAGCGGGATTCTCTCTTTACAATTAAATCTATTTTCTATATGCCATCCTAGAATAAGCTGGAAGTAAGGCAGTGGGGTGGGGTGGGGAAGTTGTTAAACTCAAGTAACAGTTTAATTAAAAATACTGCAACTCCTATTTTGTGTCTCTGATAGTTCCTGCCACCAGTTGAATCATTACAGTAGGGACATTGGAGTGGAAAGGGAATTCTTGTGGTTTGACTGAGTTCCTCTGCCTTTTTTGTTTTGTTTTGTTTTGTTTAACTTTTGCTTCAGATGACATGGTCACAAGATGATATCTGAGGCAGTTTTTTAGTTAGGATAAAATGGCTCCAGAAAACAGTGTCCCCCATCATCTAGGAAGTGGGTGTGACACAGGCATCTGAGTGAGGACACATTTCTTTACTGCTGACAAATGCGTGCCTTCCCCTATCCGTGGAATGTTCACAGTGAAACATCATGAAGAATGTAATGTTCCCTTAATGGTCAGCTACACACTCATCAGCCCTGCCCCAAGGACAACCCTAGTATTTGTCCATCCCTTCATTGACCTTAGAGGGGCCCTGGTAAAGGTCAGACTCTACATGTGAAATGTGTTGTGGGAATACAGCAGTTTCCAGTTAGGTGTCACTTCTACCTTAAACCTATCTGATCTGTGTTTTGGGCAGAAAGAAGATAATTCAAATTCTCAGGTATCCAAGCTTCGAGAAAAACTGCAGCTGATCAGTGCTCTCACAAACAAACCTGAAAGCAACAGGCCTCCAGAGACTGCAGAGGAAGGTGAGCAGCAAGCTGGCTTCTGAATATTTCACGCAGGCTTGGGCAGCCTGCCTCCCACACAGGGAGTAGGGACGGTGTCGCCAGCACTGATGAAACCGAGTGAGTAATGCCTGAGCGAACCAAGATGAGGCTGATGCACTTGGCTTTCATTTAGCAAAAGCCCATTTTGTACTTGATTTGCACTCTAGTCTATTAAGGGGAGAACGGGTAATGTTTAGCTGGAAATAGACTTCTCCATGCTGCCTGCATCCAATTATAGGCAGAAATGTTACTGTCATAGCTTATATTAAACCATTCCTAAATGTTATGTTTCTGTTATTGTGAGTGCATAAAATTTACTTAAAAATAAATATTAGTCCTCCTGAAAGTCGTTAACATGTAATGATGGAATTATTCAATTTTCAGGCCACTTGGCTCTAGGTAAGGATGCATCTAATCAATATTATTAGATACATTAATTAACATCTACTATTTAGACCTTGTGAGGCTAGAACAAGGTCCCAGACAGTATTGTCTTTGACTTCCCTGCCTCAAACATTCTTCAGCTTTGGAGATGTAGGATAGCTTCCCTGAGATTCTCTCCAGAGAGAAACAGAACTACGTTGAAGGCCTTCCCCTGACATTATCTTATGATAGCATTCTATGGTAGCATGGCTGGTGGCTCATACCCCCAGACCAGACTTAACAGCCTATTTACCAAGAAGTCAAAAGACTTATCTAGCTAAAGCCTTAGCATCTAAACATAAATGATGGTAACTGTACTATAACTTGAGTATTCTTTATACAAAACATGTGGGGCCAAAAGTATTGTCAATTTGGAGTTCTTTCATTTTTTTTAAATATTCTTAGGTTATCTTTGAGTTGGTATTCAAGTCTAAATACAAAAATTCACTCATGTTTCATATATACATTGTCCATATGCATATGGCCTGATACTAAATTTTTTTGGTATTTTTAAGTCACCTTTATTTGATTGTGAATCATCACAAGAAGTCATATGTGGAATTTTTCACCTGTGTCTGTACTCTAAAAGCTTTTGCTTTGGGGCATCTAAGATTAGAGCTACTCAACCTGTGCAAGAGTTCTGTTCCAAACCTTAATGTAATACTGATTACTCCTCACTTGTCCACGCCTTTAACTTCACAGTCACTGTGCTACTTTCACTCTCAGCTACTTCTCTTAAGTTAAATATGTATGCTATTGTCCTAAAAGGTAACCTTCAATACTGATTCAGTCTGGTGTTAGAGTTGATTGTAATAAAGGTGTATGTGTTTGCTACAGAGCAAGTACAGAACTTCACATCAGATCCATCAACATTGCCAAAATTTTCATACTTTCTTGGAAACCAAATGGAGACCCAGCTAAAACCTATCTCCTTGCCAGGGATTTCTAGCATCAAAGGTAAGGTTAATGATGGAAATGCTCAACTTTGTAACTGTTATAACTTTTAATGTTTTCTTGTTTAAAAACAAAGCCTATCTAATGGACTGGAGAGATGGCTCAGATGGTAGACTGAGTTCAATCCCCAGAACACATGTAAAAGACAGAACAACAACAACAAAAAAAAAACTAGTTGTGGTGGCATACAGTCTAATAATTCCAGCACTGGTGATATGGAGGCAGACGGATCCTATGGGCTCAGTGTCCAACTAGCCTAACTTACTTGTTGAGTTCTAAGCTAGTGAGAAGCACTTTCTCAAAAGCAAAAATGTCAACAGGGCCAGAAAGATGGCTTAGTGGGTAACAGCACTTACAGCCTGATGACCTAAGTTCAATTCCCAGAACCAGCTAAGGTGAAAGAAGAGAGCTGACTCTATGAAGTTGTCCTCTGACCTTCACACATGACATGTATACACCCACACATAATAATAATTGGTTTTTCACTGAGGTTGTCCTCTGGCCTCCACATGCCTGCAAACACACAGGAACACATTACTCACATGATTTATATTCAAAATTATTGGGCCAGCTACAGAAAACTGCCTAAATCTAAACAGCAGATAATTGGTTGAGACAGAATTCAAACTGAGGCTGACTCTGAAGCTTCCATACTGTCTTTCAGCATTTTTTAAGGTCTTTGGTCAAAGAATGGGAATACACTATAAGATACAGTCTCAGCCAGGCACAGTGGCATATGCCTCTAATCCCAGCACTCAGGAGGCTGAGGCACAAAGATAAAGAAAATAAGGCCAGCCCGTGCTATATAATATAGTGAGATCATGTCTCCAAAGAAAGTCTTTCTTTCCTTGAGGATATGTCGTCTAATACAGAGGACAGAAAAAGCAAAAACAATTCTTTGAGATTAGCAAAACAAGTCAAAGTTGACTGTTTTCAGAGCCCTCTGGGATCCCAACAATGAGCAAAATAAATACCCATAGAAAGGCTGTAATTCATTGGATGACATTTGCCTTGTGCCCAGTAATGTCTTCTATTCTTCATTGTGATGTTGAGGCCTCCTGGTGTGCTTTTGCTGTCTGAAAAATCGCCCCCTTCTGATCACATACCTGCAGGCTCTTCACTTTGGCTTAGATGCCTTTGTACGTTATCTCCCAGGTCTGGGGTATGTGCTTCCTGTACATTATGATTTGGTTTGTTTGCTCCTACTTAGTATATGTTACTGTGTTAAAATTTTCTGGGGAGAAACAAAGTTTAGCTTCCATGAGTAAAGTCTCAGTCCTGTTCACTTCCTAGCCTGCATCTCAGAGCCTGGAGACATGAGTGTATAACTGAACAGATGAGTTGCTTGCATGCTACGATTACTTAAGGCTTAAATTCTCTTCTTTTCCCCTGCCTCTGCTGGTTTTCCTTGGTTTTATGGAGAGGAAGGAGAGTCATTGTATCTACTCTACTAAAAAGAATTTCCCGGGCAGATCCTCTTGGAGCTGGAGCTGCAGGCACTTGTGAGCCACACAACAAGGATGCTGGGGAACTGAATTCTGTACACTCCTCACCACTGAGCCATCTCTCTAAACCCCTTTTGGATTTTTTATTTGTAGGTTGGTTGGCTTGTGTTTGTTTGAACTTTTGTGGGGGTTGTTTGTTTGTTTGTTTGTTTTGAGACAGAATCCCATGTACCCCAGGTTGACCTCAATACTCTGTATACCTAAGGCTGGTCTTGAACTCTGGGTTACAGGCATACGCCATACAACTGGCTCAAATCCTTTTTAAATGTTAAAGGCTTTTGTTGGAAACTTTCTAATCCCATTTCTGAAATAATATCTTAGTTATTTTTAATGCAGATTAAATAGTGCCATTAACCACCAAAAGATAAATACACAGAGGCGGACAGAGTCCTATGGTTCTTTTTTAATTGAGGTATAATTCCATGTCACCCTTTTAAATTGTATAGTTGTGTGAGCCTTAGTATATTCTCGAGGCTATGCAGCCATCACCATTGTCTCATCCCATAGTGTTTTCATCACCCCAGGATGTAGCTTCATACTGAGTTAACAGTTCCCCAGGGGCTTACCAGATGCCTTGGTGCTTGGCATCGATCAAGCCTGACAACTTGAGTGGGTCCACATGGTGGAAGAAGAAAACCCACTTCCACACGTTTGTCCTCTGATCTCCACATGTGCTTTGACATGTACACATGTGCATATTCACATATACACACAGTAAACAAGAAGGAGAAAAGTTTAAATTGTTCCCCAGTTTCCCCATTGTGGTTCCTGGCAACCACTGTCTCAATGGATTTATATATTCAGGATGTTTCATTTGTAGAAATGGAATCATACAGTATGTGGCCTTGTGTATGCTCTTTTATCATAGTTCTCTTTTCATATTGAGGCATGAAGCAGTGCTTCCTTTCTATGGCTGAGTAGTAGTTCACTGTATGGTATATTCACATTTGGTTCATCCATCCATATAATTAGGTTGTTTCTACTTTTGTGCAATTAATAATGCTGCTGTAAACATGAGTGCATAGATTTTCTTGGAAACATGTTTTTTCTCTCAACTCAATGCCTAGGAGTAAAATTGCTAGGTCATATAATTCCTGAACTGCCAAACCATGTTCAGCATGTGTCTAACAGTTTACATTCTCATTAGCCATGTATAAGGATCCAATCCACTGTGCCCACATGCTTCTTGTGGGCAAAGTGGATTTTTTTAATTTCTCTTATTTTTGAGGTTATAATTACATCAACTTCCCCCTTCCCTTTCCTCCCTCCAAACCCTCCCATATACCCCTCCTTGCTTTCTTTCAACTTTATGGCCTCTTTCTTGGTTAATTGTTATTGCATCCATACATGCATCTATACATACATACATACATACATACATACATACATACATACATACATACATGCATACGTGCATACATACAAACATACTGTTTGTATAATGTTACTCATATGTATGTTTTCAGGGTTGACCTTTGGTATTAGATAACCAATTGCTGTGCTCTTCCCTGGAGAAGCTCTTTCTCCTACTCTCTGCATTCCCTAGTTGCCTGTAGTTCTTGTATAGGGTTGAAGCCTCATGGTCTTTCTCCATCCACTTTAGCATGTCTATCGTTGTTATCCTTGTTCTGTTCTTATTTAGTCAGTCATACTGGTGAGACTTTATGGTGTATCTTCTGACATTCCTTAGAGATGAAGTTTCAGCAAACTCCTTGATTCTCTGGCTCTTACAATCTTTCCATCATGTCTTCTGCAGTGTTCCCAGAGCCTTAGATGCAGAAGCTGTGTTGTAGATGTACCCATTGGGACTGGGCTCTACAACTCTGCATTTTGACTAGTTGTGGTTTTCTATAATGGTTTCTGTTAGTTGCAAGGAGAACTTTCTTGATAAAGGAAATTTCTGCTATCCTTATCTGTGGACATAAGAGCAAATTTTTAGAGTGTTTTTAGGATTTATGCTAGTTGTAGGTTCTCCAAGGTTCATGACTTCACTAAGCCTGGATAATTGGCTAATTTTCCAGTACTAGGCATAATTTCTCTCTTATTTTAAGCAGGTCTTAAATCCAGTTATAGAGCTGACAGTTGCTACTAAGGTATGCATGCCACTACTGCAGTCTTAGGGTTATCGTGCCGTGCTGGTCCTGATTGTGTTTCATAGGCATCGTAGCAGGCAGCGCTCTTGGTCACTTCCCTCCTTTGGAAGCTTGATTGGCACCTTCTGGTACCAAAAAAGCCAGTCCTTAGGGTGGAGGCTTTCAGTTCAGTCCCAGCTCAGGGCCTCTGGACTCTGTGTCTGAAATCCATGGTGTCTTCAGCAATAGGGACTACCTTCCACCTTGGGGGTGGGGGCAACCAAGGGCAATAGCAACAAAAAGAGGACTTTTCATGCCTGATATAGAGGTTTTTCTTAGGTGGCCTTTGCCTCTTAGAGAGATGAGGAAAGTTCATTTAAACTGTATCTATATATTTATACACAGACTTGTATATATTATAGGATTAGGTTGTTTGTTTAGGTAAATAGTTAATAGTATGATTCCTTTTGACTTGTTCAGATGTCTTTACTTATTTTATCCCCTTCCCTCTTTTTGTGTTTACCTCCTTGCCAAGTCCCTGATTCTTGAGTTACTTAATTTCTGGATCCAGAAAGACAACGTTACATAGTAGAAAGAGCCATACTAGGTAATATGAAAATTTGTAGCCAATGATATTCGATACACTTCAGTGTTTTTCAAAGTTGGTTGATCTTTGTATTTTATAATCGGCAGTACTGAGAATGCCACCTCACATAAATATGTAGTACAATATAGCAAAAGTATCTCTAGAACCATTTCAGAAATTGGAAACTCAAGTCAGCAACACAAATAGCAATTGTAAAAATCAAACATTCTAACACAATACAATCAAAAGATGTACTGATTTGATACATGCTAAAGGATAATGGCAAAATATTAAAAATCTTTGTTTTCTACAAACCGTTATGTTTCTATAAGAAGAGAAAATTTGATATGTACAATAAAAACACTGCAGTTCACACCATACAGTAGTCTCAAATCCAAAACAAAGTGCTTCAGGCAGCATTTGGTAGTGTGTGGCATGAGGACATACACACTGTAGTGTACACGTTATGTGTCAGTACAATTGTGTAGTGCAGGCTAACATTCCCAGAAACACCTCAGACTTGGTAAGCATATGACTTTTATTTAACATTTGGTCACTAAATGTTAAGGAGTCTTTTATTGTTGCCAAACTTTTCATGACCCCCACATTCAGGTACGTAAACCCTATGGGTTTGCAACTCACCGTTTAAGAAGCTATGCCGTATAATATTCCTCTCATTCTTAAAGGGTCAAAATTGTCTTTCTCATTTATTTTTATGTCTGTGTGTGTATATGTGTTTGTGTGTGTTGTGAATGTGTCTAAATACATGTTTACATGTGTGGGTGTTATGTACGAGTGTGTGCATGTTTACATGTGTGTGGTCTTGTACACATATGTGTGTGCACATATATTCGCAGGTCCCAGTTTGATGTCAGGAATCATCCCCATTGCTATCCCTGCCTCACTGAAGCAGAGGCTTTCATTCAAAGCCAGAGATGGCCGGTAGAGCCAGTGTCAATAGCCAGCTTGCTCTGGGAATCCTGTCACCACTTTCTGAGGCTGGATTACAGAAAGGCCATCATGCCTTCATAGTACTTGCATGTAATCTGGGATCCAAACTCTGGTCCTTACTCTTGCACGAGGGTAAACACTTTAACCATTGAATCATCTTCCCAGCCTGGTCATTCTGATTTAATGAGATCTTAAATGTTGTCTTTTAGAGTTAAAATCTCAACTAGTGCTGGGGTGGGTGGGAGAGAAGAGGAAGGAAACTGACTGCTAGGTATTGGAGGGGGTAGCCTTGGAGGCTAAAAGAGGGCATCTGGCCCCCTGGACCTGATGGGAGACTTGACTCTGAGCCATGTCTCCAGCTCCAAAGATAATATTTTTTTGAAACGAAGTTGGAAGGTTTGTTTTTTATTGTTTGGTTTTTGTTTTGTTTTGTTGGCAGGGAAGAGGTTTCTTTGCATGGTGATAAGATCTCACCATGTAGCCTTGGCTGGCTTGGAACTTACTGTACAGGCTATTCTCAAATCCAAAGAGATCTGCCTACCTCTACCCACCCAATCACAAATGTTGAGGTTAAAGATACTCGACACCACACCTGGCAAATTAACTTTTCTTTTAGTGCTTTGAAGTCATCCGAAGCTACTTTTAACCGTGTGCATAAGCATCTAAATGTCTGCTTTTTAATTCCTGTTAACAGATCTTCAGGAGTTATTCCACAAGGCTGGTCAAGATATGGATGGGATGCTGACCTACCAGGAAATCTGGAATTCCCTAGGTTCTGCCATGCCAAGACCAGAGAGCTTGAGAGCCTTTGATTCCAATGGAGATGGGAGATACTCCTTCCAAGAGCTAAGAGTAGCATTAGGTATCTAGTATTGTCAGGCATATTTTGAAATGGATGTGTACCCTGGACTACCTAAAATCTACTTACCTAAAAAAAAAAAAAAACTTTTGTCTTAACCCATCAACCCTCCAGCCCTTCACACAACTGTAGCAGACACATTGCCACCTTTTAACACTTGTTAAATGCTATCTGGAAAAAAAAAGTTATTTTTTTAAAAAAAAAATTACTTATAATATGATGTTGTTTGGAAATCTATGATTTCCTGAAGCCAGTAAGATCTTGTAATTTAAAAGTTGCCAGGAGAAAATTAAAGCCCTTTATCTCTTTCCTGTTTTGAGGGGAAGAGAACTTATCTTTTGAAGCTGGAAAATGTGTATATAGAGATAATAAGTCACTGTTTATACTTCATATGAATTTGCCTTAAATTAGCTGCACTTTATAGAGCCTCAGAATATGTCTTTTCTTTGAAAGGTGAGTCTTTTCTGTTTGTAAATATATAAAATGAAAGATTGTGCATATTGTGTAGAAAGTCAGGAGAATGGCTTTTAACAGGATGAACAAGTGACTTGGGAGTAGTTGACAGTCTGCTCTGGGTGGTAGCTGAAACTGTCCTCATCTCTTTAAGGCAACCCTTAAAACCATAGGGTTTGCTTGGCCTGGGAGCTATGCCATCATGTCAGGGAGTGGATGCTGTGCGGAAGGTGCCAGCTCCGGGCTCAGGAAAGTCAGATTCAGGGGCATTGCTCCAATTCCTAACATAAAAACCAGAGAAGTCTCGTTGTGATTTCCCTCATTTTTAATTATCTTTCAAGGTTTGAGCATTAAAGTTATTCAGGGGGGAATTATGTTTTCCCGTCAAGCAAGCCAGATTGTCTTTTCTACCTTAAAGTTGTGACTGCCTGCCTTTGGCACCATCTCCAATCTGGAATGAGAAGGTTCATGTCCTTGGTCACTGTGTCAAATTAGTTGTGAGTTTTGACCCTTTGGGATTTTACCTCTGGACTAACCAAGAACTTGTTTTATTTCTTGGCAGGAGGTCCAAGTCAAAATGTGGTCAAATGAAATGTGAAATCATATTCTTTCCACACAGTTGTCCACTCAGAAGTAGCTATAGGTTTTCTGTTCAGAGGATGCCATAGTGAGCAGGCAGGCTTGGAGCAGGGGCCTTCCGGTGATGGTGGACCTAAAAAGCAAGTCCAGTGCTTCCCCCTTTACGTACTTTGTGGGCAAGTCATGAAAGGTCTGACTAGAAGGAAATCACCAATGTCACTACATGTTGAGAACACTTCCAGTGTTGTTCTTAGGCGTCTCTGGGCGACATGAGTGGAAGACCACACAGAACCTCACTTGGCGGAGCCAGTCAGGGAAACACTGGAGAAGCTGTGGTTCAGGCTTCTTTAGTATAGATCATTCCTGTTTAATTTTGTTCAAGTTGCCCTGTCAGCTGTGGATAGTCTAGTACCCTTAAACCTTTAAAGCTGTTTGTTTTTCAGGTTGTTTTGTTTTTGTATTTTATTTCCTTTACATGACATTCAGCTTGGTGTTAGCTTTTTTTTTTTCCTAGACATACTAAAACTCAGCGAAGGCACTCAGTGCTCATGTTTTCTTATCTCACGGTTCTCCCTCTTTAAATTTTTTGCCTTAATGTTTGCCTTGCCCATCTATGCTGTCACTTTCTTGGAAAGGTTGAAAATACACTTCAACATTATCCTGGCACTTTAGGTAACTTGAAAGTAACTCTTGTTCTTCTGGCTGCCTTCTGTACGCCCCCTCTTTTTAATATATAGATATATGCCAGTACAGATTTTGTAACAACCAAATAAAGTTCTAGCAATAAATTGAATTATTCTGCTATATTTGTATATATTGTACCATAAATAGTATGTCTGTACCTGGAAGGTATTTTTTTTTTGAGAACTGATTTATATGAAATATACTGAGGGTAATGTAGCTTGTCCTTTTTAGTTTCAAGTTTTTATTTGTAGGCAGATACTTTCCTGACACCTTAACTCTTTGTGCTTTTCATTGGGGAAACAGGGTTTATTTCTTGGTCTTTCATCTGTTCTTTCCCCATCAAGCTTGTCTGCCAGCATCCCCCTGAGCCATGTATTGTCCCCTCCCCTACCAAGTTGACCACAGGTATCCATAAATGTCCCCTGACCTATGACCCCCCCTTCTCATCCTGCCTGAGGCATTACCAGATCTCCTGGGCAGAGAGGTAGGTATCTTATCCTCCTTTGCTAAAAATTGGACAGACTGACTGGCTGAGGAGCCACAAAAGCCTATCACTCAGTGCAGATTGGGGTTTTCATTTGTACATTGTCTTAACTTGTGCATCCAGTGCCTTGTGTTAGTCAAACTTCACCAGCCACAGACCACCTCTGAGAAGAACAAGATGGTGGTGAGGAGTTTGACTTTGGGTTTAAATCCTTTGGCCTTGTCAATCAGCAGCTCTCGAGTGTTTCCCACCTTAGTTTCTTAAAGCATTGCTCCTTGGCCCTTTGCTGTGTACCATCTAGCATAATATATACTGAATAACCTTCCTCAAGCTAGTCATGATAGTACATGCCTATAATCCAGCCCTTGGAAGGCTAATGCAGGAAAATAATGAGCTCTAGTCCAGTCCGGGTTACATAGTGAAATCTTGTCTCTGAAAAAGTACCTAGCTTAAAGATGGCTTCAGTGGCATTTAAGGAGCAGAACAATGCTTGCACTTAAAAATAAGTGGAATACAAAAGAGCCAAGGAGTGGACAGTCTTATTTCACTGCTGGCTCCTTTCCCTTCCATTGCAGTTCTTTTTGTTGCTGGACACAGCTCTGTCAGCCCCCCTTTCTGGCCCCAGCGTCACAGTTGAAGATTTTGACTGTGATGGGTTCACACTCATAATGGCCTATTGAGTTGTTTTTAGTGACAGCTTTTGTTTGCTACACACCTCATTGGCTTGCTTACCAGCCATCTAGATATGGTCCCTTTTCTCACAGTCAAGCCAGAATACATTTGGGTATTCCTGAGACTTGAAAGAGCATGTATTGTTTGTTATATGAACCTAACCTACCTTGTTGTTTTTCTCATATTAAGAAATGTAAATCTACTTTATATTAATGGAGCTATTTTGGTAATGTATAAGCAATTTTGGTTCTGTTTTGGGAGTGGATTCAAGGTTTCCATGACTTCATCTGTGCTTTACTGGTTTCCTATCAATATAGCCATTTTAACTTATCTAAATAAAACATTTCCTTTCTCTCACTGTGTCTGACTGAAATCTTCCATGCTTTCCCTGATTACTAAAGGGGAAAACTTGCTTTGTCCCTATTTTTGTGGACTGCTTGCTACCTCCTCTTGAAATCAAAGGCTATTAGTGTCACCAAACAGTCTTCAAGAATCTGACTTAGGAAAACAATGTTTTGTCAAGGAGGCGCCTGGAGCTAAACACACACACACACACACACACACTCCTCTTGAAATCAAAGGCTATTAGTGTCACCAAACAGTATTCAAGAATCTGCCTTAGGAAAACAATGTTTTGTCAAGGAGGCTCCTGGAGCTAAACACACACACACACACACACACACACACACACACACACACACACACACACACACACACACCTCTTAAAAACAAAAGATATGACGCACGCACGCACGCACGCACGCACGCACGCACGCACGCACGCACGCACGCACGCACGCACGCACGCACGCACGCACGCACGCACGCACGCACGCACGCACGCACGCACGCACGCACGCGCGCGCGCAAACTGTCTCTGCTGTTGGTTGCCTGGCAGATCCCTTTGTAAGACCCACCTGTAATAATCCTTTGCTGAAGACACCACACACTTTGTTCACAGGACAGAAATCAAGCATTAACTGGGCTGGAAGCTTCCTTCCAGATAGATAGCCCTCATAATACATGAAGGTGCTCTCCTAGCTGCTTGAGGAGAAAAGTCATCAACAGTCAACTGTGGACCCTGTGTGTAATACTGCTGACCAACCAGGCAAGATGTGCCCACTGGTAAAATAGTAGCAACCAGCTATATAGGAATAACCAGCCATTTTCTGTTTGGACTTGAGGCCCACTCCATAACAGGGAATTCATGACCTAGTATCATAAACTCAATTAAAAGTCTGTAGCTGGAAAGGTCATAGGCCCTACTACAGAGACGCATAACCACCCAAGTGAGGGTTGAATACCCATCCATAAATGAGACATTTATACAGCCCCTCCGGGTTCAGGGCTCATCACAGAATGGGAGGACAAGGAGCTGGAGGAAGCAGCGAGTGGTGTAGACACTGACATTGAGCATGATGTGGCTGTTGTACTCTCAGGCCCACTGCAGTTGTACCTACGCAAGAAAGACAGCCTGCCAACATTCTGTTGTGGGTCGGGGAGGAGCTCAGGAGGCCCACCCCTCCCTGAGGACTTAAATGCAGTTAATGTTTGTCATGGATGGGAAATTTATTTTAAGTGTGTAGCCACTGGTAAGCAACACTAATAAAATTCATTGTTGGTTTTTTGCTGTTTTTGTTGTTTGTTTAAAAAAAAAATGAAAGAATTACAGTGTTTGACCTGAGTAGTGAAGGCTGAAGGGCTCAGGCTTTAGGCATATCCAGGATGAGAAGGAGCAAGGTGACATTGAGGAATGAGGCTGCTCTGGTGTCCATTAGAAGCTCCACTTAGGCCTGTTTTATGTTTTCAGATCCTATTTAAAGAGCATGTTTTTAAAAAAAAAAATTTCATTGACTTTGGGGGGGGGAGAAAAGAGCTTAAAATACCTTGCTAGAGAGAGTTTGTATGAACAGGACTGAGGCTTTTCTATACACATGAAAAAAATTCACAACGTATTTACCAAGTTCTGGGAATCCCCATGTCTCTCCCTTACCATGCATACATAAAATCTGAGTGACCCTTCCACTCAGGGAAGTTTATACATAAAGCTTACACCATTCACAAACAGGTTTGACCTATTTTCTTAGCGAAAGGAGATCTGGCAATATATAAATGGTAGAGCACTTGCCAAGCATTATACAAAACCCTGTGTTCAATCTCCAGCTTGGGGGGGGGGGCAACGACCAAGGGATGAAAATAAATTCCTATTCTATGGCTGAGCCACTCCTCATTTTAAAACGAGACTAAATAGGTAGTGTTAGTCTTTGTCAGTCCTTTAAGCTTTAAGGACTGTTCTTCAGGAGATATTAACATTCCTGTTTAATGGATCTTAATTTTTGAGGAGTCATGTATATCTTTAGGAAAGATATAACGGTGCTGGAGAGGTAACTCAGTGGTTAAGAGCACGGGTTGCTTTTCCAGAGGCCCCAGATTCAATTTCCAGCACCCACATAGAGGTTCACAATTGTCTATAACTCCAGTTCCAGGGAATCTAATGCCCTCTTCTGGCTTCCACAAGCACAGACATACATGAAGGCAAAACATCTATATACATAAAATTTAAAATTTAAAGAAAGATATAAGCAATAAAGCCAAGTATGGGGATACAAACCTGAAATCCAGCACTCAGAAGACTGAGGCAGGAGGATCAGGATTTTAAGAGTAGCCTAACATACACGAGTTCTAAGCCAGCCTGGAATACAGTGAGCCCCCATCTCAAAAAAGAAAGATAGGGAGAGAGGGAGGGAGGGAGGGAGGGAGGAAAATAAGATACTAATTAGGCCGGGCATTGGTGATGCATGCCTTTAGTCCCAGTACTCGGGAGGCAGAGGCAGGAGGATCTCGGTGAGTTCGAGACCAGCCTGGTCTACAAGAGCTAGTTACAGGACAGCCTCCAAAGCCACAGAGAAACCCTGTCTCGAACCACCCCCCCAAAAAAGATACCAACTAGGTGTAATTCTAGAAGATGCTCTGACTAACCAATCTGCCAGTCAAGTTAATGACAACCCCACATACTACTGCTTCTAACCAAACTGTTCTAACAAGACATGACTAAGTAAATACACTATGGGGTATGGTAGAAATACCAGGAAGCTAGATGCCAGGAAAATGAACTGGAGGAGAGCTAGCTGTGCAACAACAAAGGCACATACATGTGAACCTGAGTCTACACACATGTGAACCTGAGTCTACACACATGTGAACCTGAGTCTACATACATGTGTACCTGAGTCTACATACATGTGAACCTGAGTCTATATACATGTGAACCTGAGTCTACACACATGTGAACCTGAGTCTGCGTCTTTAACAGGAAGGTCAGAAGAACAACATCTTGGCACAGTTCTTGGGGATATCAGAAATAAAAGACCAAGTCAGCCAACTAAGAATCAATACATGGCAAATAACAGTCCAGCTATACTGTAGTGTCATTTGTTAGGCCTATGACATAGCCAGTGTGGGCCACCACAGCCCTCAACAACTGTCCTCTTGCTAAAGAGCAGTGTCTGAAGGCCTAGGTCAGAGCCTGGCACTCATTTGGACTTGAATAGTGGATGGAGGGATATTAAGTCAATCCACAAGTATTGGTTCAATGCCTCCCAAATACTAACCTGCAGTTCCCAGAACATGGAATGGTGAAACCTGTAACCAGATTGATTGAAGTGCTACAGTCACATGCTAAAGACATTGCTCTTCTAGAAACAAATGAGACAGAGGAGAGACTTGGACTTTTTTTTTAAATCTTTCTTGATTTGATGTCCAAATGGCTCTAACCTCCTTGTCAATACCACTCCTTGAGGTTATCTCTGTTTTCTACCAAAAGGAGCCTTTGGTACCTGCAGCTCCCACCCTCAATGAGAGGAGACTACAGTTCTGAAGCAAAGGGCTTGGCATTAAAGCAGTTTGTTTCATGGGCCAATATGGGGAGGGAACAGAAATGAACATTCTTTTCAGGGCGGTTTGCCAAAGGGTAGGAGACAGAGTGGTTCAACATGGGAGGTAGGTTGCAGAGGGACACGGCAGAGGGCACCTCCTGAAAAATGGGAAGTGGGTGTGGGGAGTCAGTCCGAGGCTGTGGCATTGTTGAAGATGGGGACTGCTTTGGGACCACCGGAACATGTTGCAAGGGACTGGAGGCTTCACCCCTGGGACTGCTGTCTTGCACAGCGTAGTTCCCATCTTCAGAGATATCCAGCTCCCACAAAGAATCTGGATTTTGAGCTTCAGCCTTGGTGACAGCAGGGGGCGGGCCAGTGTTGATGGCTGCGTTCATACCATGGTGGCGCCGCTTGTTTATCCAGTACAACAGTGGGCTGTAGGTGAACATGGCAGCTCTCATCACTTCCACCCACTGCTGGACATCTTCTTCTCTCTGCAAGTTCTTCTTCCAGTGCAGAAAGAGAATGCAGCTGCCTATTAGCGAGGAACACAGCCCCAGGAATCCAATGCTCAAGGAGATCCACACTAAGGCAGTGAGAAAGAAGTCTGATGCGCTCGTGTAAGGTCTGAGCTGTTCCTCATTCCCCTCCTTGGCCTCATCACCATTACTCTCTCAATTCCTTCCCTCCCTCCTCATTCTCTTGCTCAACACTAGACTTCCAAATCACTTAGCTATGTACAGATAAGAAACACTAGGTCTAGAAAGGGTAAGAGCTAAGTCAGCCTTCCAGGAGTCCTTATGTTTCTAGGAAAGATTATCATCTAATTGCTTAGCACTCCAAGAGACCACCATCCTCCATCCATGCAAAACATTTTCCCAAACTATTTGTTCCCCATGCCCAAGAGCACAAAGTGAGGGGCAGGGACTAGAGGTGGTGCACTTACTGCCAGGGAGTCTCAGGTCCTCCTTTTGGGAATCCATAAATGTCAGCCTTAGCACCCACCCTGTCGCTCGGGGGAGAGGAAATTCATATCTCTCCACCAATAGGAGTCCTCAGAAGGCCCAGGCCTCATTGTTCTCTAAAGGAAGGGTCATCGGGTTCTGTCCACCCGGCATTCCAGGGGCCATGTTTATGGAGTAGTCCTGTTAATGGAAGAAAGGTACCCATTCAGTGGCATCTCATAAATGATTACCTAGTTCTTCTACCAGAGACTGAGCCACCAGGAGAGTCTGCCCTCATCCTTGCAATGAAGTAGTAGAGCAAGCCCCCAGAAAAGGGCCCTGGTACTCTCAAGGAGCTAGCCATGTGGTTAGTGATTAAGGAAACTCCACTCTGTACCTTCCCCGATGCCGATTGGGACAGGCAGCACACAGAGCACTGGACAAGCCTGCTTTCAATAAATCTTGGACCAAGCTGTCAGAAGAAAACTGGCTCAGGGGAACCAAGCAGTCAGCACACCCTTTGGTTCCTACAATCTCTTCTTTCTGTTTCATTTCCTCCCTTTGACCAGTGCTGGCAAGTGTTCTTGGGCCCTGTGGGAGCTCTCCTCCCTCTAGCTGGTCCTTTCCCAGCCTAACCTCACTCCCTCCTCATCCTTCACACTCCATTCCCTTCTGGCCCCCCCCCAACAAACATCCCCTGCCCCACCCCCCTTGGGAATCTTGTTTATGCTGCTTCCTCCTGAGTGCTGTTTCTTTCGGTTTACCACTGAGTACCTTTCTAGGCTCAGCTTAACCCCTGCTGTGTAACAAATAGTCCTTTCAGTTCTCTTCCCAAATGAGATTTAGAGTTGTCTAGTCTGACTCCCTTCAGATGCCTGAGCCCATGGTGGCAGATCTCATCTACCTAGACACCAATCCTCCAGGGTTTATTGAAGCCAGGGCCTTGCTTATTACTTCTTAAGTAAATAGTTCTTGAGGTGGCTTGTTCCATTTATGGATAGCTCTGTTAGAAAGCCCTTGGGAGTTGAGCCTAAACTAACTCCTAGGAGGATATACCAACAGGTCCTACCTTACATTCTTACCATTTAGTTTTTCTCCTTTTTATTGTCTCCCATTGTATCTTGAGACACTCTTGGTTACTTTTGCATTTCTGTGACCTAAATACCAGACAGAAACAATGTAAACAGAAAAGGTTTTATTTAGCTCCTGGTTCAGAGGGTTCAATCCATAGTTTCTTGGACCCATTTGGGTGGGCAGAACATCACAGCCTCGGAGGAACATAGGCAGAAGACCAGCGCTCACATTGCAGTAAACAGGAAGCAGAGTACAGGGCCAAAGGCAAGGTCTGAGCCATAACCTTCAAAGTCCTGCCCCTTGTGCCCTTCTTCTACCCAACCTCTTCAGTTTCCACAGCCAGCCTCCCAAAATAGTGCCACCAGCTGGGGACCAAGGTTCAAAATGTGAACTTGTTGAGGACATTTCAGATTCAAACCAGAGCAGGCACTATTTACAGATTTCTTTCCTAGAATGCCTTTCCCCTTGGCTCTACTTTATTGTCCACTGCTTTTTCCTCCTCCTCTTTCTCCTGGTCTCTTAAGTGTTAGCATGCTCCGGGGCTCAGTCTCTAGCATTCTATCTACAATCCTTCCTCAGTGGACATACCCACATTTATCACATTAAAGAACGCAAATACACTGATGATTCATAAATCCATACCTCCAGCCTGGAACACACTCCAGAACTTCAGATTCACACACCCAACAGTCTAGTTGACATCCCTCCTTGCCTGTCTAATAAGTTATACTTAAGCTTGGGTTTAAGGGAGGGAAAACTACTCACCTTTGGAAGTTGCCATATTTGCTCCACATACTGGAACAAATGCCAGCAGTCAGGATGGTCCTTTGAAGAATAGACCATGTTAGTCCTCTGCGCTCACAGCCTCCAAAGCCCTAAGCCATTTAACCACCCGACTCAGTGTCATCTCTACCTCTGTCCCCTCATCCACGGGATAGCCTCTTGCTGTTTCACAAAAGTATAATCGTATTTTGCATTTGCTGTTCCCCTTAGCTAGTCTGTTCCTGCAGTCTCCATATAAACCATTCCCTCATTTCACTCATTTCTCTTGCTTGAGCAATCCCCCTATTTGTGTCCCTCATCTTCCTTTGGTTTTTCTACATGCGAGCATTATCACTTATCTTGTTCCACTAAGATGCAAACTCCATGGATTTATGTAAACATGGTGCTTACATTAGTTACTTTTCTGTTGCTGTGGTAAAAATACCATGACTGAGACAATTTATAGAACAAGGATCTTTTTTGGCTTACAGTTCCAGAAAGAGGGTCTGTAATGACAGAGGAGGCATGGCAGCAGGTGGATGGGGCAAAAAGCCAAGAGAACACATGCTTATCCATATGCAGGAATCGGAAGGCAGTAACTGGAAGTGGGGCAAGCCTACAAACTCTCAAAGCCTGCCCCCTGTGATATACTTCCACCAGCAAGGCTCCGCCTCCTGATGGGGACATTTCTCACTAAAACCACCACAGATCGAAGGGATTAGAGAGTGGTAACTTCTGTAAAAAGCAGAGAGATAACAGGGTGAAGTAGAGTAAAAATAGACTCTAAAAGGGGCTGGGGTGATAATGGCTCAGCAGGTTAAAGACACTTGCCTGGTGACCTGCATTGGATCCCTGGAACCCATGGAAAGGAGGAAGAGAACCTACTCCACAAAACTGTCTTCTGCCACACAATTGCCTCCCCTAACCCCAACACACATGATAATTTTTAGACGATGGGGAGGTTCATCCAGAGAGGTCTCTCTGAGGTGCTGAGATGTGAACTGAGTTCTAGATGATGAGCAGAGGAAACAACACGTGTCAGAAGCCTGACCCAGGAATCCTGCGCCAGGTACAGGCCAGCAAAGTGAGGCTTTCATAATCACCCACTGCGTCATCCCAGCATTGGGAGTCTCATGTCTAATGACAGGTTGCATTGAACAGTTTAGAGGCTCTGTTCCTGCCTCAGGAGGGGCTCCTATCAACTGAGGCCCAGATAAGGACTTCCATGTGACTGCCCTCACATAGGGTACACTCACTCATGCTGGCAGCAAATGTGACAGAGATGATGTCGTCATTGTCCCTAAACTCACATCTGGTTAATCGGGTGAAGAAGATGGTGGCATTTTAAGGGGGGGGGGCAACACATTCTAAGGATGAAAAAAAGAGCCTGGATAAAGATTTGTCAAGGACAATTCCTAGTGTCCCTGAGAGTAGTTCAATTACACGCCAGGAAACAGAAGGAACCCAGACTTCAGAGGCACTGCTTTTTAAAAAGAACTCAGCTCTTAGGTAGAACTTGGTACCTGAATGATTTGCGGCCAGTTTAGCTTCCCCATCTGTAAAATGAGGGTAATACCTACTTCACAGGGTATGAGGCCAATGAGACCTTCTGCAAATAGAAACCAAAAAAGAGAAGCTTCAGCTGTGATGTTCAAACATCCTTTGCTGCTAAAGGAATTGTTACAGCTAGTGCCAAGTAAATTTAGAAAAGGGGCAAGCCCAGAGAGAACCCAAAGATCCAAGTCAGCTTTTCAGAAGAAGCTGGGCGCGCAGAGGCTGCTGGTCCCGGGAGGGAGGACGTGAATCCCGGCAGACTCCCAGGAGGAGACGCACCACTACACCCACAGAGCGGGTGGGCAGAGAGCCACCAGGACTTAGCGTCGCTGCCCCTTCTCCACTTCGGCACCCGGAACTTTGCGCACGCGGAACCTCGGTGGCGGAACACCGGCGACGCGGACCTTGAGGGCGATGGAGCAGGCGCGCGGGCCGGGGGCCGAGGCTGACGCTCCGGAGGAGGAGGAGGGGGAGGCGCGGGCGGCCATGGCGGCCGTGGTGTCTGCTGCGGGTGGAGCGTGCCCCGCAGTTCTGCAGGTGGCCGGCCTCTACCGGGGCCTGTGTGCAGTGCGCAGCCGCGCCCTAGGGTTGGGGTTCGTGTCACCAGCACAGCTGCGCGTGTTCCCGGTACGCCGGGGCTCCGGCTCCCCCTCCGGGGGAGCAGATGGCAACGGGGTCAGCGAGCTGGAAGCTAACCCCTTCTACGACCGCTACCGGGACAAGATCCAGCAGCTGCGCAGGTGCGGTCCTGACCCGCTGGGGGATGGGGGTGGGGACTCGCGGCGCGCGGGCAGAGCTTCCGGCATACACTGCACTACGACTCTGCTTGGTGGGCTTGTGCTATCCCCACTATACCAGTGGCTTGTTTCCAAGTTCAGAGAGGTCGGGTGTGGAAGCGTATGGCTCCTTCAGCTGAACCCAGGACGTACACTCGAATGGGCAGGAGCAGTAATATGAGAACCTCCCCAAGTTCAGAGAGTCGCTTGCCTAAGGTCACATCGTTGGTCTCTGCAGAGCCTTTGAATCTTCCCACAGTAGTCTTTGTGCTCAGATCTCAGAACGCCCGGGTGAGCTCTTTAAAGCCCTGTGAGGAAGACAGCTCCTAGGTAGAAATGTAAAAATGAAGGCACTTGATTTGCTCAAGGTCACATGTTGAATCAGCGGATGCTTGACCAAGAGATTAGGTTCCAGGCTCCCAATTTAGGGCCCTGACTGCAAGGGAAAGAGACTGGAAGGGATAAAAGTGCTGCAAAAACTAGTAGCTTTAAATTTCCATCTCCCATTGAACCCTTTCATTAAGATAATATTGGTGGAGGAGCACTTGAGCACAGGGCCTTGAGTCCCATCCCCAGGCCTAAGGGGGATAAGTGGGATAGGGTCGTCACTGTTAAGGTAGGTATAGTGGGTGCCTAGTACCAGGTGGAAGAGTTGAAGGTCAAAAATGGAAGGGGTTTTGAGAGAGAGTTTGGTGGTATAGGAAGGCAGTTATGAAAGGAAACAGACATTGAGGGCTGTAAATTCTCTGCATTTTGTCTCATTTTAATTCCACTCCCTTAATTTTTTCTTCATCTTCCTCTAACTAGTGTCTACCACTTCTAGTCTTGGAACCCTCCACCTGTCCACTTTACACCATGAACATAGTGATCATTCACACTTTTTGAAGCAATAGTGGAACAAATGAATGGCTACTTTTGATCTCCTTCAAACAGTAGTTATTCTCAAATATTTGTCATCTTAAAATAGTTTTTTGACCTACATTTCTCTCCATCCATTTCTCTCTGATCTCCTTTACCCACAGGCATCTCCAAAGATGTCTACTCAAACTCTAAATACTTGTGGTCCCACTCACACTCATTCAAGAGCCAATAATGCTTTCTTTCTTTCCTCTATGTCATTCCCATCAACATTTATATATACTGACATTTCAGAATGTGTCCCACGGAATTCTGTACAATGTCCAAACTGCTTAGTGATCCACATAAAGCTTTCACACCCTAGACTTTTGCCAGTCTTTTTAGCCTTTTTAGGGTATCAAAACTTCAAATGGTGTGGTCTAGGTCTAGCTCTAAAATAATTGGAGGGAGGGAAAAGGTGGGATGTTCCAAATATGAGAAATAACACAGTCAGAAGTACAGTCATGAAACCGCCTCAGTCATTTAGGGATGTTTGAGCACATTTTTGTTATAATTATCAGTAGTGCTCATGTACATATTTATGTATCTCCAACTAGATAGTAAGTTTCAAGTAAGGACAGTGTCTTAGTTATTTTCTATGTCCCTGGAGCCTAGGAAGAGCTCTGCTGCCCAGGGTGTCCCTGTGCTTTTTATGCACTCACTGTGGCAAGCTCAGGTACATCTGTGGCTGCTAGCTGGGCTTACCCAGTCCTTCCAAAAGATAAAGACCATCCCATCTACATAGTAATGAAAAAGAGTGATACGTGGTGTCACATCCAAATGAAATGGGGTACCCTATAATGTTTTGATTATGAAGGTCTACTAAAGGGTTAAACAAGATGTCTGTTTCCTCACCCATGATGATGTGTGTCTTCCAGCCAAGTAGCTGGGATGATATTTTCATCTCAGCATGCAAAGCCAAACATCCCATGGTCAGCTATACATTCTGAAGTATTCCTAATAATGATGGCAGCCCCAGCCTGGCCTTCAAGCCGGAAGAGCATCCCCATTTTAAGATAAAAGATAAATTATGATTTTCTGTCTCCAGGTTCTTTGGAGGATAGGTTAGGGAGATGCTCAGGTATTAACTCTTCTCCCAAAGCATCCACTTGAAGCCCAGGATCTGAGTATGGGCATAGAGGGAAAAAACAAAAATTAGATATATTCATGTAAAAGCACCTAGTAGGTGTGCTATAGGATTCCTGCCTGCAGAGCTGACCCAGCAATATGACGTCAAAGTATTCTTTCTATCTGGAGTAGTCTAAGTACCTACAATGCTGAAGTACCTGACAAACCAAGCCCTGGATCACCTGGGAATAACCTGCCAGAGAAAAAAATGTACTGGCTTTGCTTTCCACGTTCTTGACCTCCAGGCTTATACCCAGTTCTTAACAACTGAGAGCAAACCCTACACCCTCCTGATGCCTGTGTCCTTTCTTTGTGGATGTGGCCTATGATGCTTTGTTGTTTCAAAATCCAGGAAGGCCTAGGTTCTTTATCCTTTGATTTACCTTTGGTCAGGTCTGACCCAGCCGCCTTTGAGTCCCGCCTGGAGAAGCGCAGTGAGTTTCGGAAGCAACCAGTGGGGCACTCCAAACAAAGTGATTTTATCAAATGCATGGAGCAGAAGGTAAGGCCTACCTGGTCCTTTGTGTGTGCATTTTTAAGTTTACCAGCGTTCCTCCCAGTCCTTAACCCTTGAAGAGACCTCATTGATGGATGGTAGTAACTTGAACTCTGATCTTCACTTATTCTCCCTTAATAAATGTATATCCTATTCTTTCTGGGCAAGATCCTGTAGTCATGATGGAATGTAGAGGAATGAAAGGATGGTCCCTGCTCACAAGGAATGCAGTCTAGTGATCAAATCAAGGTATACAAGGCACTGGGCTATAGGGAACAGGGAAATGTGTACAGTGGAAGTCTGGGGTTCAAAGATAGGGTCTCACTGTCTATCACTGGCTGGCCTGGAACTTGCCCTGCTGACAAGGCTGGCTTTGAACTCACATAGATTCTCTTGTCTCTGCTTTCTGGGAAGTGGGATTAAAGTCATTGCACCACTACACCCAGCAAGATTTATTTTTTAATATTTTTTTGTTATGTGTGGGTGTGTATGCACGTGAATATATACACATTATTGCAGGGGCAATTGTGTTTAAGAAGTAGAGGAAGGTAACTTAACTGCTGAGAAGACGGGCTCTGGAACCATATGCCAGGGACTGAACCATAGCTTTCAGCAGCCAGCTAGGTAATTATGGACAAATTATATAACTTCTCCATGCCCCTGTGTTACCTATTTGTGAATTAGAAATAATAATAATAGTAATACCTACCTCACAGAATCATGCTAAAGACTGATACTAATGAACTAGTATCATCAGAACTCTTCAGTTCAGTCCCTGGCACATAAAAAGGACTTAATGTAACATTAGTCATTGTGATCCTTGAGCAGTCAAAGCTGGAGAAAGCATGTGGATAGCTGTGTATAATAACCTAGGACAAGACTTTCCAAACTCTTTGACCATAACCCACAGTAGGAAATACATTTACATTGCTACTAAGAATATATGTAAATGTTATAACAAACAAATTTTTTATGGAACAGTGCTCTTGTGATATGTAATACCTTCCTTTTCTATTTTTAGACTGGTTCTCACACTGTAAACCAGTCTCATCTGGAACTTATTAGGTAACCCTCTTGAGCTCTCTGTGGTCCTCCCACCTCGGCCTCCCACGAGTTCAGGTCGCAGGTGTGAGCCATCATGCCTGGGGAGTGCATTCTTAATATTTCATTTTCTAAAAAATTCTGATGACAATCCATTGAATTGATTTCACAGCATATAATTTTAAAACTTCTAAGCTGGAAGATGCATGGAATGAATTCATGAGAGACTTCAAGCAGGTTGGAGCACTTTCAGTTGCTTCTGGCCCTTCTAAAGAGGAAGTGTATTAGTTGTTATCATGTTTCTGTGACAGAACTACCTTAATGAGGAAGGGTTGATTTTGGCACATGGTTTCAGACATGTCAGTATATCATGTCAAATGGGGTGTGGGCTCTGGAAGCAGAGAAAGGGGACTATAAGAAAAGACTAGGATAAGATAGAGCCCTAAGGACATGCCCCTAGTGACATACTTCCTCCAGATAAACCCCATATCCTATCTTTCATCACTTCCCAATATCATAACAGTGTGAATCCAGCAAAAGATTAATCCATTCATTAGGTCAGAGCCCTCATGACTAATCATCATGGGACGAGCCATCACAGACTTACCCAGAGGTATACTTCACAAATCCCTTTCAATCTAACCAGTATAGCAAGGGATATTAACCATCACAGGAATTCTAATTAGTAGAGGAGCTGAGAACTCAACAGGACTCCAGTATGCTGAGGACACCTACCACTAGAAATGCTATCAGAAATAATCAGTTTTAGGAAATACATCGCTCCGTTTCTCACCTGGCCCGTGGTCAGAGGGCCAAGCACAGAAAACCCAAAATGAACAAATTAGGAAGGAATCCTTCATGTTCCTTCACACTCCTTCATAGTGACAGGTGTAGAATGAACTTCCTGTACCAGCATTCAGTGATTACTAACAAACCCTTTCTCACCTTTGCATCTCAGAATCTTAGCAGAAGGAAAATTGTCCATAAACAATAACTCTTAGAATAGAATAAAGAGCAATGGAAAGAGTGGATAGAAGTAAATTCTCAGGTACAGAATTACTTAGTGAGATTGGCTACTTCAGTGACTTGGTTTTCTTTTTTTATGAGGAAAGTATAGTTTAATAGCGTGTCTCATCATGTATCTCTTCATCTAAGCTGGATTCCTGCATAAAAGATTTATCTGTCTCATCATGTATTTCAGACACATGCCTCAGGGAAACAGCCTGTGAGCAAAGGATTCACTAAGGACAAGGTAGGTTTCTAATTAAATACAGAAATCCAAGTCTGGAGTCATATGGGACATCTATAATAAGAGGCTGCAAATTTGAACATATTTATTGTGCTCAGTGATTTTTTTGTATAAGGTGATTTTTTTTCCAACAGTAAAGATGAGAAATATTTCTCTAGATTTTTGTGTCCTTGACATGACCCCTGCCTTAAGTGTGGGTCCAAGGATGCCACAAGAAATTTGAAGGAAGGAAATGGAGTGCACTCCTTTCTATAAAGGCACCACATACAGCCTTTCTATCAAAGCACCATATGTAGCCAGTACTTTATTGTCCAAATAAAGAACTCTGGTAGAACAGTAGTCAGGGTTTCTCCTTTTTTATCAGCTGCAAAGTATTGCAGGACTCACTGGTGAGACTGAAGCATTTGGGGAGTACTTGATGACCTAATAGATATTCCCCAGGAATAGAATTGTGAAAGTCTGTGTGGGAGCTGAGACCCACATTCTCTGAGCATGTGAGTGTTGAATGCTTGTTCTGTACCTACCAAGCTCTGCTTCACTGTGCTGGCATTCCTTTCTGCAAGACTTTAGACAGAATAAAACTGGAGTGGTGGTTGTTGTTGACTGTAAATGTTAATTGCTATTTCTTCTTTCAAGACTCTCAGTTCGATCTTTAACATTGAGATGGTGAAAGACAAAACTGCAGAGGAAATACAACAGGTAATGAATGAAAATGAGTATGTACACTCCCTGAAAATATTTGCTCTGTGAAGCAAGTCTGAGAACAGAAAAGGTCATATAAAATAGTTATAAAGGACAAAAGTGATGAGTCACATAAATAATGGTGACATAAGAGACTTGTCTTTCTTTGTCTTGCTTTTGTATGTCTAATCAACTTACGTTTACCCTTTCTTTTTCATTCCTGTTGCCCAAATCTTATTTTAAATCATCAGAACTCTGTACTTGATCACTGTACTGCCTTTCCAAATAGGCTCCGTGGTGTGGTGCTGGCACATAGTGGTGAGCGTACCTTCCCTGCAAGTAGCTTTCCCTGCTCCCACTTTACCTGAGCTTAGCTGAGTGCGCTTACAGTTCCTCTAGCCTTACAGAGAAGATGGTGTGCTAGTTAAAGCAGAGACCTTCGAAAAGAACTGTCCTTTTTAAGTCCTAGTTCTGCCACTTATTTGATTAGACAAGTCAATTTTTCAGGGCCTCAGTTTCCTCACTGTAAAGTGGTAGCAACTGTACACCTACTTCATGAGCTATTTGAGAATTAAATGAGTTAACATCTGTGAAACACTCAGAATAAATCCTGGCACAGAGTAAGTGCTATAGCTGTGCTTTAAAATAAATGAAAAAATACTGTGTTGGGAACTTGTTTGTAGATTTCCAGAGACAACCCCTCACCTAACCCTGTTTCACCTCCTTAGCATTGTGACCTAAGGACCATCTATAGAAGCTTCCTGAACATCTCCCTTGAAAGCATTCGTGATCTCTTCTGCCTATTTGGTCATTCTATGTACCTTGATTTGCAAGGCTCATTTTTTGTTTGGTTGATTGGTTTTGGTTTTTCAAAATAGGGTTTCTCTGTGTAGCCCTGGCTGTCCTGGAACTCACTTTGTAGATCAGGCTGGCCTTAAACTCAGTCCACCTGCCTCTTCTTCACCAGTGCTGGAATTAAAGGCATGCACCACTACCACCTGCTGTTCATTGCTTTTTTTATACCTATAATTCTTTTCTCTCTTGTAGCACAAATTCTAGTTGGTCTTAATAATAAAAACTCTGAGACAGATATTAAGGTTGAAACTGAAGATCAGAGAAGCAAAGTGGCCAGCCACTAGAGAGTTCTTACCTCTGCCAATGCTCAAACCAAAAGGGCAATCCTGTCCTCAGACTGCATTCTCAGACTGCATCTGTCTACACCAAACCTCAAACTGCACTCCTGTCTCCTCCTGCCTTATATTTCTCTCTAGTGCTGAGATTAAAGGCGTGGGATCCCAAGTGCTGACATCACCTTTGTGTGGGTTCTGTTTCTCTTTAGACTGGATCAATTTCATGTAACTCAGGGTAACCGTGAATTAACAGAGATCTGTCTCCCGATTTCTGGGATTAAAGGTGTGTGTCACCACTGCCTGGCCTCTATGGCTAACTAGTGTAACTAGCTTTGCACTCTGATCTTCAGGCAAGCTTTATTTATTAGATCATAAACAAACTATCACCACACTTTCTAACTTGTATGAAACTATTTGAGCATTCTTTATTTTTCTGTGAGTTATATTTTAGGTATATATGCTAATTAACAACATGCTAATAAAAGGAGTAATAATATGTTGCTTCATAGGTTTTTCTTCATTAAATTCTGCTATCCACTCAAGGAAGTGGATGCTGTTATTTTCTAATTTAAAGACGCAAGATTAAAAAATAAATATGCAAAGCAGTGTTCTCAACATTGGCAGTTATAAATTTTAAAAAATTACCTCTGGAAAATATTGAAGACTCTTTATATCTTACAATATCAAATTCCAGCCAAGATTTATTTCTTTGTTTAAAAATAAGCACATCCCTCTCAGTATGCAAATTCATAAAATCATATGTATGTGAAAGAATCATTTTGAATATTTCTTTATGATTATCAGTAAATGTTTGATTGTGTGTCTATTTTATATTGTACATACCCATATTCAAAGTTCTCAAGCAAAAAGGAAGTCAGAAGTAGGAAAACTTTTGTTTGTTTTTCAAGACTGGGTTTCCCTGTGTAACAGCCCTGACTGTCCTGGAACTGGCTCTGTAGACCAAGCTGGCCTCAAACTCATTGAGATCCGCCTGCCTCTGCCTCCCGAGTGTTGGGATTAAAGCATGCATGACCACTGTCTGGCTCACAAGTGGAAAAACTTTAAGACACCCTAGTATAAGCCAAATTCCCTCAGCTTACAATGCCTTTCCCCTCCATCCCCCGCAGTACTAGGAATTGAACCAAGACCACATGCATGCCAAGCAAGTGGTTTGCCGCCAAGCTATCCCCCAGCATCACAGTCATCTGATACTGTTGGATTGCAGGACATTGGTGACAGCACAAGCAAATATCCTGCCTACAGAGGGTTTGCAAACTAACGAAGGAAATGCATTCATACACGAATGATCATTTTATAGACTAGCATATTTGTCTTAGTTTTCTATTGCTGCAATAAGACACCATGACCAAAAGCATCTTGACGTAAAACTAGCCAGCACACTCTTTAGAGAGATATAAAGTGTGAAGACATTTCACAGGAAAACTTCTGACTGAAATGATGAAGGAAACTACATGGGGGGAAAGCATATAAACTTAGCCTTGGATGTTAGGAAGAACTGGTGGAGAAGGAAATCAGAGATGGGAAAAAGAACGCTTTCCAGTAAAAACCTGTAACATGAAAAGCTGTGGAAGACAATTAAAATAATCCAAATAAAAAGTACAAACACAAAACATGCATATGACGTGTGGAGGGATAGTATTGCATGTGTACTATATCTATATATTGTAAAAATATATTCCTAAGAAAGACTAGAAAGACACGAAAGTAATTCCTTTAGCTTATTAAAACTGGATTTTTCCATTGTTTTCTAATTTTATACTGTGTAAGACTACTCATTACTTTTGGGTATTTGCATTATGAAAGTCAACCGTACCCTCTGTGTTCTTTGATGCCAGGCAGAGGGATGGGACTTGTAACTGCTCTGTACCCCAGTCAGACCCAGCAGGCTCTATCTGCTCCTGATATGTAGGGCTTTCTGGAAGTAGAATTTTAAGAGCTGCCTGGAATATAGCAGTAAAAGCCAATATGATTTCAATGTCTATCCTGCCAGTCTCAGAGATCTATTAGTTCAGTTAGTCTTCATAAAAATCTTGTGATGCCGGTGTCAATGCTGTTTTATTGATTTTATTTAAGTTTCAGTCATTTGCCCAAAGTAGAATAGCTAGTAAATGACTGGGGCTAGGATTTGCATCTCAGGCTATTGAGTCCAGACTTTAAACTCTGAATGACTTGTATCCTTGCTCTCTGAGAAGGTTCACAGTTGGCTGGGAAGGTATGAGTTTGGGAAGGGATAAAGAACCTGTGAAAAATCTATCACCAACAAGATAGATCCTGAGAACAATTATATCAGAGGTCATAGAAGCAATTTCTTTGACAAAATTTGTTATTCTTTTACATTTTTTTATGTGCTTAGGTGTGTGCCATCTGTATGCAATACCCGTGGAGGCCAAAAGATTGTCAGATCCCACTATTGCAGCCCAGATACAGCAAGGAGGACCTAGGCCCTCCCCCAAATGATATGACAGACTTTGAAGCCCGCGCCCCCCCCCCCCGTGGAGGGCCTCACTATCCCTGGGGAGGGGTTGGGGGTGGGGACATGGGAAAATGGGAGGGCAAGGAATGGGGGGGATGGATATGTAAATGTGAGTAGTAATTAAAGAATAAATAAAAAAAATATATTCTCAAAAAAAAAAAAAAAAGACTGTCAGATCCCCTGGAACTGAAGTTACAGATGGTTGTTAGCTGTCATATGGGCAGTAGGAATTGAACCCAGGTCCTCTGCAAGAACAGCCAATGCTTTTAACTGCTGAGCCATCTCTCTAGCCCCTTATATTATTTTCAATTGTCTGTTTGTATGAGGTTATGTGCACATGAGTGCAGGAGCCTGCAGGGGCATGGGATCCCACAGTACAGGGAGTCATGAGCTACCTGATGGATGCTAAGAATCAAACTGGGGTTCTCTTCAAAGGCAGTAGATGCTGTTTACCACTGAGCCATCTCTCCAGCCCCCAGAGTTTATTATTAAGAGATACAGTTTGGGGTTTGGAGAGATGACTCAAAAGTGAAGAACACTTTCTGCTCTTCCAGAGCATCTGTGTTCAGTTTCCAGGACCCACATCTGGTGGCTCACAACTGCTTTTAGCTCCAGCTTCAGGGGATCCAACACCCCTTCTGGCTTCTAAGAGCATCTTAACAATGCTATATGCACAGACATATACATTAAAAAATGAATCTTTCCAGGTGGTGGTAGCACATGCCTTTAATCCCAGCACTTGAGAGGCAGAGGCAGGCAGATCTCAGTGAGCTGGAGGCCAGCCTGGTCTACAAAGTGAGTTCCAGGACAGCCAGGGCCACACAGAGAAACCCTGTCTTGGAAAACCAAAAAAAGAATAAAGAAAAAAATGAATCTTAGAAAGTTTTAAAGAATTATAGTTCAATCATCCAGAAGATCATGTTATTAAATTTTTATAAGCATATTTTTAAAAAACATTGCAGTGGAATTGTCCTTTGTGTTATCAGGTAGAATAATACTCTAAGAATGAAAGCTATCACTGTTTCTTGGCATACTTGAAAAGATTACCCACATGTCATGGATACTTTATTTATTGCAGATTTGGCAGCAGTATTTTTCAGCGAAAGACACAGTCTATGCGGTTATTCCAGTAAGTAATTTGGGGAGGAAGTGCAAGTGTTACAGCATGAAGGTCGGCCCTTACTTTCCCTGTGTTTATGACATCTTGAGAACTTACACTTTACAGCTCTGAGAGTCTTTATTGTGCCCTAAGCACCAGAGATTGGAAGCTTCATGTGGTGTATTTATGGATTTTCTTTCCCTCTTTCTAGTCTAGAAATGTTTCCAAGTCTCTAACCAGGGAGGCTAGTGTAAGTTCATGTTTCTGAGTGATTTCCAGGTGCGTTTTATTTCCTTTTCATTTTCCAACCAAACTGCTGGGATTCAAGAATCTGCCTCCAGCATAGCTTTCTTCCCTTCTTGTCTGTAAATGGCAGGTGCCTGAGCTGACCTGGAGCTCCCTCTTGGCCCTTCTCCAGCTTTTCCCTTAGCAAGAGGCATTTTCTTGGTTTTACCTTCTCGACATTGTCTTAGAGGTGATCACTGGTCATTGCCTTACCATTAAGAAAGGATACAGCTGTCTTCTCTAATTAAGATTATATCTTACTCTAGATCAGGCATAGTGGCAAACACCCTTAATCCCAGTGCTTGAGAGTTAGAAGCAGAGGTAGGCAGGTCTCTCTGAGTTCGAGGCCAGCCATAGCTATATAGCAAGTGAAAAAAAAGAAAAAGATTATATTTTACCTTAAAGTACACTGAAGAACAGTCTTATTCTCAACTTATGTAAGTATAAGATTATGAAGGGAAATGCTCACAGAAGGAAAAGCCAGGCCTTTTGGTTTTGAAGAAATCCCTATCCTTGTTTTTTAACCTCTTATGCATATATACTCCTACCTTCATGAACTCCACAGTCTGTATTTGTCATTATGCTTTAGATCATTCATACTAACATTTAAACAGGCCTTCTCAAGTCTCCCTTGGATTCACAGGGTTCCTTGGAGACTTTGAAGCATTGGAGCACTTCATCTTCACACATAAATTATAGCAATGAGCAGCAAAGTATCTGGTTTATCCTGTCTTTTTAGCATACGAATGATTTGTAAATGATGGAATAATTAAAAGCCTGTTTCAGCCATAATATAGTTCTAGAATTCAGTCTTGGAAAATTTAGTTGATTGTGACTTTCCTATTCATGTTTTCTTATTTGTAAGTTAACTTTATTCTTTTCTAATTTGAAGAAAGAGAAGTTTGATTTGATCTGGAACCGGGCTCAGTCCTGCCCAACAGTAAGTCTGTGGTAACCATCTAGAATTGTTTATAAATGCTACCAAATAGTTGATTTCAAACCAGTCCTTCTCATGATATAATGCTCTATTAACAAAGTTGCTCACATGTTAATTGTACTAATAAGTAATATTTTCATCCTTATAAATGATGTTTTATAATGGCTCCCCACCACATGTTAGGCCTTTCTGATATAGGTCTTAATCTATCAGTGTATGTACATACAAAAAGGCACCTAAGAGCCCAGTGCAGTAATGCATGCCTTTAATTCCATTCAGCCTGGTCTATATAGAAAGTTGCAGGCTAGCCAGGACTACATAGAGATACCCTGCCTCAATAAATTTAAAAGAATGTAGTAGAAGGGACCTGAGACCTTAATCTTTGCAACCTCCTTCGGGTTCCTGTATTAGAATTTTCTTTACAGTTTTGTCCATGCTGATATGTGCCAAATTAAATTATTCTTTTGTTGCCAAAGTAGTGAACCACCAGAAGGCTCTAGGGAAAGGGAATGGATAGCTGATGTGACAACCAACTTGTCAGCAGTAGTTGCTAGAGTTTTTCCCAATATTGCGATATGTCAGCTCTTCCAAATTTCATCTCTGATGCTTTCCTTCTTAGATGGGTTGAAAATGTGTGAGTGTTTGTTATGCTATCACGTAATTAATTTCATAATTAAAAAAAAAAGTTCATAAAGCCAAGCTTTATGGAATGGGGATATAAGTCAGTTGGTAAGTTACTTCACCTAGCATGCACAAAATCCCAGGTTCAATCCCCAGCACCCTGTAGACTGGGTGTGGTGGCACATGCTTAGCTAACCCAAGAGATAGAGGCAGGAAAAGCAAGGTCATTCTTGGCTGTATCTAAGTTTGAGGCCAGCCTGGGATCCATGAAACGCTGTCCTTTACAAAAAAGGGAAGTGGAGAAAAGAAGGAAAGAAGGAAGCAAGGGAAGGGAAGGAAGAGAAATTAAAAAGACAAACATTGAAAAATAGAGTGGTATAAGTGATTAGACATTGAAAACTGCCTTCATTTATTTATCTGTCTGCTTGTTTTTCTGTTTGCCATAGTTTCTTTGTGCACTGCCAAGAAGAGATGGTTATGAGTTCTTTGTAGGACAATGGACCGGTACTGAACTCCACTTCACTGCACTTATAAATATTCAGGTACGTAACATATGCCCTACAAAACACGGGGTAGAAAAAGGAAACCTGTCCTTTGGTGAGGTTAGAAGCTTTCCTGGGGCTGGGGTACAGAATCTGCTGACTCCAGCATCACTTGCCATGGCACTGGTGAACTGTCATATGTTGTCAATTTAGGCTTGTTTTCTAGGCCTCACTCAGTACCAGAAGTTTGAAATCAAAATACCTTTCACTAGCTTCACTGTCTTTCTTTTGTCTCCTCCCTGGACCTCTATGACATCCATTGCGTGTGCCTACTTAATAGACATGGCTAAGTCAAGATGTTATTTTCTTAAACAAAGCTGTAAGCCCATTGAGTAAGGCTCCGTGGCTCATCTGTGTTTTAGTAACCAAGGTAGCCTCTTCCGCACTGGTAGATGAATAGTTTCCATTTCATAAATATTAGTTTATTTGCTTTCTTTTCTTTCTCTGTTTTATTCCCAAAATATTTATTAGAGTAAAAAATATAGCTCAATATACTTGAAGCTCTTTTAAAAAGAAGTTAGTATTTTAGTTCACAATAACTAGAATTGGCATTCTATATTTGGAGGTCACATGCGGGTAAAAAAAATCATGTATTGTTTTGGCTTTAACATTGAGGCAGATGGCACAAAATAGAATAAGGAGCAAGTTTTTACATTGTTGTTTGATAATTTGTTGAGTGTATGCCATTTTAACATTTAATAGATATTATACAATGGGTGTTTAATACTTGTCTTTTAATCTCAAATGAAGGAGCTACTATTATTATTTCCATTTATAGAGAGGTAAGTTTATTTGTATTACTAAGTAATAAACTATGTCGAGTCCAGGTTATCTGACTCCAAAGTCTATAAACTTAGATATTTACCAGTCTTGAGAACTCTGCTAAGTCCTATAGATGTATAAGAAAAGGAAAGAAGGAAGGAGTTCATAGAGAAGTATATGAGAAAGTATATGATAGAGTCTGTAGCTGAGTGTAAGAGAAAGAGCCAAATACAGAGTGGACTCTAAATATTCTTGTTTGCTTTCTGTTGCTGTGATAAAACACCATTCCAAAAGCAACTTATAGAAGACAGGGTTTATTTGGGCTTACAGTTCCAGAGCTTATGGAGCTTACAGCTCCATAATGGCCAGGGAAGCATCATAGCAAGTGACTAGAGCCAGAAGCTGAGAGATCACTCTTCAACCGCAAACATAAAGCACAGAGCAAACTGGAAATGGGTAAAGCTGTAAACTTTCACGGCCTCCCTCTGCCCCCAAGATGCACTTCCTCCAGCAAGGTTCCACCTCCTAAAGGTTCCCTAACTTTTCCCAAATAGTGCCACCAACTGGGGAGCAAGTGTTCAAATACCTGAGCCTTTGGGGGGCATTCTCCATTTAAACCACACAGTCTCTAATGCTTTCTTTCTTACATGGGCTGAGGAGTATGTGTCTGTTTGTGATATTATCAAGTATGACTTTCATAACTTAATCTCTCAGAAACTCCTTCAGAAACATAATGATCAGAATAAGTAGTATATATTAGGATTGTGGCCGAAATGATGAGTATATTAGCAGTGTGTGTGAGGGAACTAAGAAGAGTGCCTTAGCAATAGTTAGGTACAGTAATTAAATGATGCTTGCTAACATTTTAGAAATGAAGCCCTGGGATCTGTTTTTGAATGTATCTGTTTTCTTTCATACCATATAAAGGCACTGGCTTTAAATTCAGCTTTTCTTCATAGACTACACTTGAAGTCTGTTGACCTCACTAGTCATTCTTCATGAAGTTACACAATTCCCATTTTTTTCTCCTTTCTGTACCAACCAGACAATATTTTAAAGCCACACAGTAGAAATCTGGCTCATTCGCAGACTCTACAGTGCTTTGCTATAGCTTAAACGAGCTCAGTCTTGAGAGGCGCCACAGGCAGTGGATGAAATGCACTAGTCCACAGAAGTGGCAATTACACAGGCACATCGCTTTCTTTAGAACTTGACTTGGTAGCTGCCTGTACCGTTTTGTTTTTAAATGTATGACCACAATGAAGGATTCACTGCCTCCGTAAACATTCTCTGGGAAAAAAGCCAGATCTTTTCCAATTGAAGATACAAATAACACCATGAAAACTGTCAGTTCACCATACCTTTGCAGGCCTGACCTTGCCCCTACATACCAGTCCTCTAACTCACTAGCTACCCAAAGGGCTATTAAGAGCTAGAATTTCCTCCAGACTCTGTTGCTTTGAAATTGCAGTTTGTTGTGTTGGTACCTTATTGAACTTTGATAAGTGTTTCTCCATGCAGACCCGAGGGGATGCTGCAGCCAGCCAGTTGATTTTATATCACTATCCTGAACTTAAGGAGGAAAAAGGCATAGTGCTGATGACAGCAGAAATGGATTCCACATTTCTGGTAAGAATCTACATTTGCCTCTTCAGGTTTACCTAGTGGTCTTATAGGTGTTAACTCTTGTCAATACCCCAGGTCTAGATTAGGGAAAGGTGCCTTTGTGTATTTTGTTTCTCATGTTTGAAAATAATTTTGTCTTGCTTATATGCATCTAAGTTGAAGTGCAGTTATCCACAGATAAATGGATGGTTTTGTTTGTCAGTGCTGGTTTGTATCATTTTACTTTTTAAGTGTGTGTGTGTATTGTGGTTATGGGGCAATGCCAAGATGCATGTATGAAAGTCAAAGGACTATTTTTGGAAGCCCATTCTTCCTGGAACCATGTAGGTTCCAGGGGTCAAACTCGGGTCATCAAACTAGCAGCAAGCCCCTTAACCCACTGAGACATCTCACTGGCCCTGAAAATAGGTTATTTTATTTGAAACAGGGACTCACTATGTAGCCCTAGCTGGCCTGGAACTCACTCTGTAGACCAGACTGGCCTCAAACTCACAGAGATCCACCTGCCTCTGCCCACTGAAGGCTGGGATTAAAGGCGTGTACCACCATGCCTGAAAATAGTTTTACATTCTCATTTGATCACAAAATTTTACCTTTTGGAGCTCAATTTTATTTAAACTGACATGAGGTCATTTATAGTTATTATTATCATTTAATACAGAATATTATGCATTTTATTAAGGAAGTATGAGTGTGTTTGATTATAGGGTATAATACACAGTTACGTAGTATCTTCACCTATACCTTTTAAAATCCAATAATACCAAAACCAAGACACATCTGGCCCTGGAGATCTCAAGTAAGATTATGGACACTTAGGTGACTTCTGAAGTGTAGGATGAGCTCAAAATCTCTAGTAGTAATTATTTCTTTATCTTCCTCTACACTGTTCATGGGTGTGAAACATTCACATGATGGGATTTCCTTTCCCAGTTATGTCACTAGGATAGAACAGAAGCTGCATGCCCATAACTAATGATGCCATTGTGTTTTCCTCTTCATCTGGTACCAGACACAGTTTTATGTCTATAGTGCTTGCTTGTTTCCATTTCATTTGTCTGACAGATATTGTTTAGGATGTCTTCAGAAGACTGGGAACTTCAAAGTCTCTTCCTCCATTCCATCACCTACTTATATTTCCTCTTTGTCTTTCCCAGATACATAGAGAGAAAGAAGTGATTTCAGCAAGCTACTGTCTCACAGTAACAGTAGACTCCAGACCTGGAGCACAGAAGGGACTCTGCTTCCCTGACTGTTATTCCCAAACTGCCCAGTCTTATTTTTCCCACTTTCTCTTCCTCCTAAACTGTTTCTGTATCACACTAAACCAGAAGTCACTGATCCAAAATATGTATTTGCCATTAATTGAGATAAAGTCTGCAGAAAAGATGGTTTTGAGAAGACCTCACTTTTAGACCGTTAAATCTGAGGTGCCTGTTAGCTCTCCATACAATGTAGACAATTAGATACATGAGCCTGGTACTCAGAAAAGCAGCCCAGCTAGAGTATGTGGGTTGTATTTAAAACCATGGATTGAATGAAATACCAAGAAAATAAATGAGGACACAGAAGAGAAAAGATATAAAAACTAAGTCCTAGAGAGATGAGGAAATATTAGTGAAGAAAATTAAGAAAAACAGTTGTGATACAGGGGAGATTAAGATGGTAAAACACCTGGAAATAAACATAAAATGTTGTAAGCAACAGGGGGTGTTTAGTTGGCCAACTCTAACTTGCTTATAGGGCCAATGAAATAAAGACTGAAAATTTGCTAGATTTTATAGACAGAAATATTTGGGTACCTTTGTAAGAACAGTTTCAGAGGAGTGGTATGATTATAAATAAGCATAATTAAATTTAAGAACGATGAGAAGAGAAACTAGGAGGGGTAAACATTAACTCTTCCGAGCAAAAGAAAGAGTAGAGTGTTAGCTGGAGGAAAGAAGTGGGACAAATATGTCTTTTATTTTAAATATTGAATAAATAATATGGAAAGATGTGGTAGGAAAAATATTAGCCATATAAGAGAAGGAAAGAGTGAAACAAGCTTTTTCCTAATTTGAACTAATAAAAAAAAGAGAGAGAGAGAGAGAGAAGGAAAAGGAGTAGTAATATTCTGGGTGGATAAGTCTGGAAATGGGGGTTTGATCTTTTCTTTTCCAGGAATTTATTAACTGAGAAGACATGAGGACATGGGTGTAGTAGAGTTAGATGAATAGTTAGTGGCAGCTCATGGAAGATTTTTTTTTTTATGAAAAGAAAGGCCATCAGCTTAGAGTAAACATGGTAGCATAGCATTAGCTATTCCATGGTGGCACACACTTTTAATCCCAGCCCTTGGGAGGCAGCGGCAGGTGGATCTAAACATCATGATCCAGGACAGTCAAGGACTACATAAACAAACCCTGTCTCAAAAGAGCCCAAAAAGAAAAAGGAAGTTTTGTTTCCATATTTCTTAAGACTGCTTTAGTTCTCTAAGAGAGTTGAGTAGTTTGAGGCTCTTTGGCTCCCCAGACCTAGAATGTTTACTGTTTATAGAAAGTGTTTGCAAACCATAGTCTAAGGAAATGGAAAAGAGAATTTGTGTAGGTGCAGGCATGGAGAGGATGTCAGATTTAACTAGTTCAGCCATGTGGTGTAATGATATAATTGAGGGGCCAGGAATCTTAGGATGAATGCAAAGGGACGCTTATACTTAATGGATCAGAGAATAAAGCTGGGTGAAGAGGCAAGTGAGAAAAGAGACACATTAAGAGCTGTGGACTTCCGCTGCAGAGTGTTAGAGTTGGGAGTGAGCTAGGAAGATAAAAAATAATAAAGTCATATGTTCCGGACTGAGATTTGGAGAGGACGCCATTATTGATGGCAAAGTTTGATGTCTGTGACATATAGAAATATGACATACAGACTATACTATACTTTTTTGGCTTTAGCAAAGCAAAGTGTCTAGCTATGTTTCAGTGAATCCTAGAGGTTCAGGGGAAACTCGTTATTGGTTCTGTTTTACCACTTTACTCTGGTAGGCTCAAACTGATGCAGTTTTAACATCAGTAAGGTTTTGCAGGGTTGGATTTTATGAGTTTTGTGGGGGTTTTGTGTTTGTTTTGTTTTTTTGGTTTGGTTTTTTGGTTGTTTTTTTGTTTTTTGTTTTTTTTTTCTTTATAACATTTGACAACATATATACTAAAGGACATTCCCCATCGTGGACATTCCCTTCCAAAGAAGGGGGGACCACATGAAAATGTGGACATTTTATAACTATCACAACTGGCTTTGGCACTTTTCCTGACTGGGGTGCTAGCAACAACAGGTTGTATTCAAGAGAATCTAATTAGTCAAAAACTAGTACTTGCAAACTGTTTCTTAGAGATGGGTAACTCTTGCCGCTCTCCCTCCTATGGATATAATGGTTATTTAAGAACTAAATAAAAAGAGAAATTGTGAACATATGAACAAACTTACCTGGCAAACATGCCACTGTATATAGGAACATACAAACAAGTCATGATGCCTTTATCTTTGAGGAATTTGTATTAGAGAATATAGATCAAAAATGGCAAATATGAGAGAAAGTGATGACAGTGGTAAACAATATGCCTTGGTTACATGAAGAAGAAAATCTAACCAAGACTTGAGAAGTCAGGGAGTCATAGAAGCTTTCCAGAAACAGTGCCTCCACCACAGAACTCAGACACAGAGCTTTGGTCCTGTGCAGGAAGGTACCTCACTACTCTCATTGCCTTGCAGAATGTTGCTGAGGCACAGTGCATTGCCAATCAGGTTCAACTCTTCTACGCCACTGATAGGAAGGAGATCTTTGGACTAGTAGAGACCTTTAACTTCAGACCAAATGAGTTCAAATATATGTCTGTCATCGCTGAATTGGAGCAAAGTGGACTTGGAGCAGAACTGAAATGTGCCCAGAACCAGGATAAGACTTAGAGACATCTTGATTGGCCCTTCAGAGTCGACTCAGTCGTGGATAGCCTGAAGCCCACTCACACCCTGACCTCCAGAGCTCAACATCTGCAACAAGCAGTCTGGAAAGAGTTACCATGTATGCTTATTACAAGAAGTGATTGTGGGCATGAGCCCTAATACTTGATAGTCAGGAACAAAGATATACAAATATTCTGATAATTGCCTCTCAACCTAAGGGTTCCTTTTATGTTTCTGGGCATTTGAACAAGGAAATATTCAGGGATCTTCAAGAATATTGGCTGGGTTTTATTCAGTGTAACATGAAATTGACTTCATAGCTCCCAGTTCTATGTCTTCATAAACCTGTAACAATAAGCCTGAGATCTTAGAGATGTCAGCTTTACATATTCTTTCCATGCACCAATGAGCTGGCTAAAAATATAACCCCCAAATCCTGGCCAGACTCAGTACAGTCAGCTATGTTCCTCAAAAGGAAGACTTCTAGAATCCCCTCCAGAGTTGCCTTCAGTGTAACTCAGCAGCTTTCAGGTATAGTTAGATAAACAGGTACAATGCCTGCATACTGTTAAATGATTATAGCCCTACTCTCTGAACTCAGCCTGTGAGAAGCTGATGAATTAGTTCAGTGTAAATAAAACCGTTTTATAAGATCATTCCAGATTTGCATGATTTTAAAAAAAAAAAAAAGCATTATATGAAAATGTGGGTAGAAGCAAATGTTCCCAGATTGAGTGTGGGGAATGCAGCGATAAAGTCTGGTTTCCAGTCTTCATTACACAAACTAGTGGAAACTAAGCTATGCGATGTTGGTGGCATCAGTGCTGTGGGTTAATTTTATCGGAACTCATCTTGGGGCTCAGTGATTTCTTGAAGTGCCACAAATAAGCAAGTTATTCACCATCAGAAACACATGCATCACTCTGGAAAGAATGGTGGGTCCATACCAGCCTCATTAACTCAAAATCCCATTATTATTGCCGGTCCCTCTACCATACGTCTCATTTAATCTAATGTGCTCCATCCACCTTTATCTGCCACCCTAGTCTGATGTTGGATGCCACCAAAAATGAACAGAAATTTAAGTAGTGTTTCCAGTTTAGGTGTGTATGTTCTTCATTACAGATTTGTTTTTAGGGTTAGGCCTCCCTCAAAGCTTTTTATTCAAGTAGGGGTGTTGGTTTGAATAAGAATGGTCTCCATAGGCTCAGATATTTGAATGCTTAGTAACCAGGGAGTAGAACCTTTTGAAAGGATTAGAAAGATTAGGAGGTGTGGCCCATGCCAGTCCCAGAGTATCTCTGCCTCTTTCTCTCCTACCCCCCCTCCCTCCCCGTTCTCTACCTCCCTCACTTCCTCCCCTCCCCCTCTCTGCATTCAGGTCAGGTTGAAGCTCTCAGCTACTTCTCTAGTATCATTTCTGCCTGCTGCCATGCTGTCTGCTGTGACGGTAACGGACTGAGCCTCTGAAACTGTAAGCAAGCCCCCAATTAAATGACTTGTTATAAAAGTTGTCTTGGTCATGGTGTCTCTTCACAGCAATAAATCAGTAACTAAGACAGTAGAGTTGGCCATCCCATTGATTTCTAGATAGAGAAACAGATAGTGTTTATTTAAACAGAAGCTGTGCTGTGCTTTCTGTTCCTCTAAAGGTTGAGTTGTTTTCTGATGCAACTTCTAGACCCTCCATGGGCCCAATAGGGCACATTTGAGAACTTGAGTGCTGTCAACCCTGAAGTTCTCCTTAAAAGCCTTCCACACTTCTGTGTGATATACATCTCGAGACTTGGCATTGGATGGGGTTACTTTTGTGAGTATCCAGCATGTTTGTTTTTTTCTCCAGATAGACCCAGTTCTTATCATAGAACATTTTCAAAATACCTCTACTTAAGAGTGAATTAAAAGATCAAAACAAAACAAAAACAAAAAAACTAGCCATTCATTTCATGACTCCTCCCAGATTTGCCCTCAATCCCATCTTGCCAAATAAAGATGCTATATCCATGGGTAATTATATCAAATGTGACTGACGTACCATCTGACTGTTGTTAATATTTTATTTTACCAAAGAGATCTAGCAAGTGATAAATGAAAACTCTAGCGGTTAGTCTGTAACTGTCTTCCCGGATCCCAGAATGGTGTTTCTAAGATGGATGGGCTTTGGAGCTCATTGAATTGGGTTCAGATATCAGCATTACTTTCATTAGCTTCTTAATGATAAACTACTTAAACTGTAATTCTTACCTGTCTTCTGAACATGGGGATATCTAGCTACCTCATAGGATTATTTTGAGACTTCAGTTAGTTTATATATAGACTACAATAGAATTTAGTACTTGCTGGGTCCCTTCCTCTTCTTTACTTCTTCATTAAAGACCAGCATAGGGACTAGGAATAGGTCAGTGATGGAGCTTTGTGCCTGGCATGCATCAGGCCCTGTGTCTGGTTCCCAGAACCAGACAGGAAGAAAGTTAAGTCAGCATTTCAGATGCACAGATCACTCTTCATTTCAGCTTAAACAACCAATTCTGTCTCACTGGTTCTCAACTTAAGATACAATGGAATCACTTAAGACATTTAAAAGATGCAGTTCATGGGCGCTGACAGACTGAATTGAAGTGTGCAGAAAGCGCTGACAACCTGCATTTTAGCGTTTATTCTAGGTAATTCTGATGTGGGTAATTAGTGAGCCTTTGTGAACCATTGCCTTATCTCTTATGAAAATGTCCACTAGATGGGTCTTTTTCTCACCTCCAGACATTCACATAGGATGTAGATTCCTCTGCTCTTTGTCTTCCTAGTGTACATTGCATTATATTTATTTTTGCGTGTTTACCCCACTAGACTGTGAGCTCCTTGAGGGCCAGGATTTGTCTTTATTCTCAGTGCCAAGGACATGACCTGAACCACAAAAGAAACTCAGTTGTTGAACCAATAAATGATACAGATTTTAGCCATGAATTCTTATTGACTTATGCATTTCTCTACTTGAACCCTAAAATGTTGTGGTACCCTCAAGGCTCCTGTGTTTGAACATTCATTCCACTGCTGGTGGCACTTTTTGGGAAGGTTGTAGTACCCAGGTGGCAAAGGTAGGTCAGGAAGCAAGACCTTAAACATTAATGCCAGGTTCTAGTTCAGGATTACTCTGTTTCCTGGTCCATGGCCTCAGTGTGAACAAGCCTCAGCTACCACCCTCCTTCTGCTGTGAACTCTGCCAGGCATCCTCAGCCCTGATGGACTGACTACACCTGCTGAAAGCACAAACCCAAGTAAATCCTTTCCTAAGCTGTCCCTCAGGTGTGTGGTCACAGAGACACAAAAGTGACTGACACACTTGAACTTAAGATTATCATCTCTATCTTTCTCTCTCATACTCCTCACTTTCTCCTACTAGTCCCACCCCAAAGGGTTTTTTTTTAATTATTATTTTTAAAAATTATGCTGACCCATAAAAAAGACAAACACCTTTAATCCCAGCACTCAGGAGGTAGAAGCAGGCAGATCTCTGAGTTCAGGGCCAGCCTCATCTACAGAGTGAGTTCTAGGTTAGCCAGAGCAACTACACAAAGAAAAACCCTGTCTCAAAAACCAAAAACAAACAAACAAAAGATAAATGTGTGGGTATTTTGCCAGTATGTATGTTTGCACATCACATACATGTGTGGTGCCTATGATGGCCAGAAGAGTGTGTTGGACCCCTTAGAACTGAAGTTCCGGGTGGTTGTGAGCCACCATGTGGATGCTAGGAATCAAACCCAGGTCCTTTAGAAAAGAGACCCGTGCCCTTAATAGCTAAGCCATCTCTCCAGCCCCAATGTCTCTCAGATGTTTGAAACAGGATCTCATATCGCCCAAGCTTGCTTCATTATATGTCCAAAGCTAGCCTTGATCTGCCTGCCTTCACCTCCTAAGCGCTGGAATTACAGGCATGAATCAGTATCC